AGTGTCTGGGGGAAAACCTTCGGGAAGCTCGGATGCTGATACGCCTTGTGACAAAAAGAAAAGTCTGAGCTGTACAAAATCTCATACATTGGCAATATGGAATGTGGGGGACATTAATATAGGCAAATTAGACGTTGTAAAACACGAAATGAAGAAGCTAACATAGACATTCTCGGAATCAGTGAGCTCCATTGGACAGGAAATACGTACTACTTTAAATCGGATGATTTCACAGTACACTGCTATGGACAGAACGTGATCAAAAGGAATGGATTAGGATTGATAATAAACAAGATGGCATCAAGAACAGTCGAAAGCTTCAGAACGATCAATGAACGAATCTTGGAAAGCCTGTGAACATTATAATACAAGTCTATGCCCCCACGGCTCTCAAATCCAGAAGTTATTGAGAGCTTCTATGCAATCGTTCAAAATGACGTGATGTCTTTTTTCGGGAGTTCTTTCATCTACGTTATGGATGATTTCAACGCCAAGTCGGCAGTCAATCAGAAGGGAGTATCACAGGTAAATTTGGATTAGGAGAAAGAAATGAAGCAGAAATATACAGTACACTTAGACTTCTCCCAACGGGCTCCACCGAAATCAGATTGATTACATCCTATATACTCATAGTTATCTCGGTCACTGCAGCTAAAACTTTTCCAGGAGCGAATTGTGGATCTGATCGTGAGCTCCTAGCAGCCAAAATCAGAATTCGTTTTTGCACCGGCAACAAAGACATGACAACGGCAAGATTCGGCACCTTCAGAATGACACAACATTGAAGAAAAAAGGTTTTTGATCTACTTGTTACAGTAGATAAGCTGTCCGAGACATTGTGGAAAGAAATAAAGATTATAGTGATTGAGACGGCCAAGAAAGATATCGTGTACAAGGAGCCAGATAGGAAGGAGATCGTGTAGGACTCTCAGCATAGCCGACCAAAGAAGAGAAGCTAAAGCTAGTGGCAATAGGAAATGAGGTAAGAAGATTGAATTCCGAATTTCATTGGTCAGCTAGAAAGAACAAAAAGCTAGATTGGAATATACGCTAAAAGCATCTTGAGGATAGCACGAAAGGATATACCCGGACTCTTTTCGCGCAAGTTGACTCGTAAACTCTATGGCCCACAAAGACTCCATAAAAGACAAGAAAGGGAAGGAACTAGAAGACCAACAGAGTATCAAGGATAGTTGGAGGGAATATGCTGAGCTCGTGGGAACGAATCTAGTTTTTCACATGTGAACGACCTCATGGATTTTGGAGCTCTTCATTCTAGAGTCAGAAGTCGTAAAGGTGCGAAAACAATCAGCTAGTAACAAAACAGTAAGCATAGATAACATATTGGCGGAGCTATTGCAACCAGTTCCAACGAAAATCACTGTCCTGTGCCAGGCTATATGGGAGTCAGTGCAATAGCCACAGGACTGGAAAAGATCAATATTTATTCCTTTGCCCAAGAAGGGTGACACTGGAGAATGCTCTAACTACCGCACAATCACTCTTATTCCACACGCAAGTAAGATCTTACTCAAAATTATTCTGAAAGAATAAGACCTGTAATGGGAGCTGCACTTTCTGATGTCCAGGTGGGATTTTAGAACGGACGTGGTGCGCGCGACCACATTGCAAACTTGCGCTGGATCATGGAAAAAGCCTGAGAATATCTGAAGATTTTTGTTTCATTGACTGCAGCAAAGCTTTCGATTGTGTTGCACACGACAGGCTCTGGCAAGTACTACAAGAGATGGGAATATCGACGCACTTAATCAGACTGATTGTCACTGTACACCGGACAAGAAGCCACAGAGAAAACACCATACGGAAACACAGATTGGTTTCAAATCAACAAAGGTGTTCGGCAGGGGTGTGTCCTTTTCACCTTTTTTGTTCGACATGTATGCGGAAATTGGACGTCGACAGACTGGAAATCTGTGTGAGAATAGGCGGCAGGATCATCAATAATCTCCGTTATGCTGATGATACTACGCTGCTTGCTGAATCAGAGGACGATTTGAAACTGATTGTGATGATCAAGGCTGAAAATGAAAAGATGGTCTTTTTCATATTTAGATATAAGCCGAAGTCATGACTGCATCCAGTAATGGCCAAGTTCAATAAAAAAAATCAACAATGAGACCATAAAATGTGTTCAGGAATTTTTTTGGCTGAAAATAGTGATGGAGAAATGAACCCAGAAATCAAGAGAAGAGTAGCTTTAGGCAGAAGCGCAATGATGAGTATGAAAAAAAATCAGGGACCTCAACACCAAAACCAAGTACAGAATAGGCCAAGCTTTTGTTTTCCCAATAGCTATTTATGGATCCGAGAGTTGGACTGTGAGGAAGGCAGATATAGATGCCTTTGAGATGTGGTGCTGACGCAGGTTATTACTGATACCCTAGACAGCGAAGATTACCAACAAAGATTCCAGTGATAAATCTGGATTTTTGATTGAACAAACTACATAAAACCAGGTTTATCACTGGAAAGCAAAATTAACAGATTCAGACTCATATTTTGGTCATGTCAGGCGTGCTAACTCCCTTTAAAAAGTCCATGATTCTTGGATTAGTCAGCGGCAAAAGAAGAAACGACTCGATATCTAGATATCATCAAAAGTGACACAGAAATGACCATTGGAAAGGTTCAAGATCGGAGAGCTTGGAGGAAGCTTGTCTACAGTATCGCCAAGGTCGAGAACGACTGAATGGCTATCATCATCACACCAGTCGAGACGTGAGATCAACCATCTTCGCATCGTCTACTTCACCTCAGCGAGCTTTCGTCGATTTCAATCCACCGAACGATCAACCAACGTTTCACAAACTCATCACCTATCTGGACTCCAAAAGCACTTCGAGTGACAGGCTGTATAAATTGTAAGGCATTTTCAATCAAAAAAGCGCTATATTCGGACATTTGTGTCTGTCTGCCACCTCTACCCCTTTACGTCTCCATTCCCTCACGCCGTCATGACAGAAGAGCGAGTAACCCTGCTTTCAAACTTAATTGTAGGAGTGTTTAACCAACAAGACGTCGGGTATTTGCTCACATGCATATACATGTTTATAATTTTAAGCGATAACTAGTCTATTTAACTTTTTCCTGTTACAGAAAAATTCATTAATTTTTGTTTTAGCGAATTGAATTGAATGGACATGATTTTTTCTTAGTTTGATACAGATCTATACACCAAAACTCCAATTATCCAAATTAATTGGGAATTTTGCTTAAGTTATATATTCTATCCCGTTATGTACGCGTGTATATAATTTATGTGAAAATAAAATATTAAAAAATTACTATTCATGCATATACAGTACATGCCAGTTTTAACAATGTCGGAGGACAATCCGGATAATTGAAATTTATTATATTCAATGCAGTATCAATGAAAATTAGAACGGATTTTTATGATTTATGTATTTATTTTTCAAGTGGAACTCTTGATTTTAAACATTGGATTGGATTTATGTAATAGTCAGCAACCCTTGGCACTCGCCCATGTGTTTAGGATTGATAGAATAAGTCAACTAATCTCTTATCGGGTCACACGTGGATGGCATGTAGCGTTTAGTGTTTTTTTCGTGTCTACTATTTATGATCTAGTTTATCCATGTAGTTCCATCGATGCATTCGCTTGCTTAAATTAGGTTATCATCGTGTAAGTTAGTTTTAGAAATACATTTTATTCACCGCATTATTTTATGATTCTCTGATTTTTTTTTTAAATCATCGTCTAGCAAAGCTTTAAGAATATGGTTTGAGTGTGTGTAAGTATTGGGTTGGCTGGAGGAGTGTCCTCTGTGAATTTTACAATATGGTAACTACTGAAACTGCGAAAATTAAGGATGAAAAATATCTTAATCCTAGAATATCGATAAAGCTCCACATTAATCCATTTCTTTTTAAGTGTTAAAAATTGCCGATTTGGGAATACTGTACTTTGTTTTTTTTATTCACATTAACAACAATATAAATTGAATGTTTTTATTTATAAATAAATTGCATAAACGAATTGTTTTATAAGTCATAGCAGAATTACATAATCTAAGTTTGCTTATATGTGCTTATTATATAATCTTCATCTCGTTTAACTCGTGACATTCTAGAAAATATAGAAAGGTTCTTGGAAAGTTTTAAAGCCTTTAAGGTTTTAAATCTTTTAAAGCTAACTTACGTTCATTGGCTTGTAATTACGTATTATATACGTATATTATTGGTTTATTAAGTGTTTTAAAAGAAGCTGAGTTTGATATTTAATTAGAACGTTATTTCTTATCGCAATTTCCTTTCTAATCGTTTGCCATAATTGAATGTTTAAAATGAAATTTGCTGGTGGCCTTCGTCACTTGATCACTTCAGAGACCGAATTGACCAAGAACCGAATCTGTATGAAGAGATGAATAGACGATAAGCAGATGATCCTTCTCTTAAAAGTATGAATAAAAAGAATTGCTCGTTTATATAATTTCTTACATTTGAAATCTGTACGCCTCATTATAGATCAGTGCCGTATCACTGAAGTAAGTACTTAAACTGTAATTCAAGTGGATTTATTTTAATCAAAATATTTCAAAGTGTCACTTTCTGTTATCGAAACGATAAATTATTCGATATTGCGTTAAGGTTGTGATTACAAAAACATTGTGTTTATGCGTAAGGAATTTTCCAAATCACGAAAGGCAATGCGTATGGATTCTCTTCGTAATAAATTTCACTATTGAAAAAACACGAGCTTTACAATAAGAATTTTATCAACTTGCAAGCTGAAAATTTTAATAATTTAAAGGGTTATTGAAATTTAAACGATGAAAATTAATTATAAATTAATAATACGAAAGGAAAATCAATTCGCAATCATTATAACTGATCTGTTACTTATGCAATATCCTATAAATTAAATATACATGTACAATTTTTAGTATAAAATTTCTTGAATAACTTTCATTTTTATTGAAATCTCTTGATTCGTTTTATAATAAACAACAATTTGTCAAAGAAATAATACAATTTTTATTACTTGTACTCACTCAAATAAAGCAGATTAGCCGTAATAGATGCAATGAGTGATGGATGTTTCATCAGACAATAAACATTGAACTTTGTGGATGAGTAATAATAATACAGTACGATTACGTCATTTGATATTTGTGAAAATTCATATCTTTATGTTAAACTTATCAAATTTCCTTCTACATTTTGATAAAATATTATTATTTCGATTAAAGGATTGATGAGATATGGCAACGCAACACGTGGGTCAAGGGGAGGTTCTCTGGGGAAAACCCAGGAGAGATCCTGGGCAAGCAGTTTCTGATAACTTTACGATATCGAAGATTAATACGAAATGTAAAACATCGTTAGTTAAAATATGTCGTAGCATTTACGACAAAACAGGAGAAACTGGTAACGAGTGTCACGTTACTAACGACCGTTTTCGTTTTAATAGAGCCAATTGGATTCTTAGTGACTTTTTTTTTAGTGTGTTTTCTCCACGAAGAAAACCCGGAAAACCTCACGTGACCAGCCGTTGGGCAGGTCACGTGAGGTTTCCGGCCGTTGGGCAGGTGAGAACCCGCGGTGTTCGGTGGTTTTATCCACTCGGCCAATGGTAGGCTTGTGATTAAAGACACAAACACGAATCTTCATTAGTCTACATTAAACATCAATTTTGGGAAAAGATTAAGTTTTTATTCAGTTTTGATTTTTAAAAAAATATCTAAAAACTGAAGATAAACTATTATTATTTATATACTTAGCCTATATTTCGTTCTGAGACTAAAAGTAGCACCCTACCGATGGGAAAGCCTCTTCTTGTAATAAGAAATTTGATATTATACCTGATAGTTTGCGTGATTATAAAGAAAAGGCAAATGCGATAGTGTGATACTTATTTAAATCTAATATGGAAATAGGAGAAGGTTGGACCGAGTATAAGTGAGAACAACAACACTGGACAAGCGAGCACAACGATTTAATCGCGTCGTTATTCCAACTTCCTGTCTTTTTTCCATTGTCTAGATCGATTCGTTCGATGAGGCTAGTTTTATATAGAGAGATATTCCTTTGGATTTTCTGTTTCCATTCCTACAGGTTCTTTGATGGTGCCCTTGCGACTGAAAGATCATCCGCTCAGTATGAAAGTCCCAGATAAGTTTGCCGGATTCTATTCGAATTTGGTTTTTATTTCTGTGAAATTTAGTCGTTAGTTCCATAATAAATTTTGAGATGTATAGTTTTTACGATAAATATATTTTTCACAGTTAATTTTGTAGTAGATAGTGTAAATGTTCTTACTAAAATGTGTGTCTTACTTTCTTGCTCTCTAGACAACAATGGTTCAAATGAAAGTATCGATGTTCTAATTGATTATTATTTCGAGTATTAAGAAACGTCTGTTATATTCTTCTACAGCATAATTGCTATTGATTTAAAACAGATCTCCTGTAGGAACGTTTAAATTTTGAATATGTAACAGGAAAAAGCTGGACTTTGTCCCGATACTTTCTCGTAATGGCATCTGTTTAAGTTGGTATCTTTCGGCATGATTTAAATTACATTTTATCTTCTATTTTCTCTAACGGTCTGTGTCTACGCTTGTGTAAATATTTCCCGTTGATAACAGCTTCGTTTCATACTCATTGCACGTTACAGTTGAAATCTTAATTTTGTTGATTAAATTCTATATATATATACACACACACACAAGGAGTGGCCTAACCTTGTCACTATAGGGGCCATACACTGCCTATCAGAAATACACGAGCCGCATTTGGAATGCCTATTAGAGAGCCTCATCTATTTACAGTATAAATATATGATATAGTTATCACTGTTACTTTACTAGTAATTTATGACTAAGTAAATAATCATTTAACTCCTTCGGCTCTATGAATGTTCCCTAAGCTTTCAGTTGTTTTTTCGAAGTTAAACCACCATTCAGGTTTATATTTTAACGGAGTATAATGTTCCTTTTATAGTTGAGCAAATGAAATTTGAAGTAAACATTTCTTTTCCACTTAAGCATCTAAAGATACTTTAAATTAAAGTAAATTTGATTATTTTTGAAGAAATTCTTTTATATAACGTACACTCCTTACAGATATATAATATTTCAAATTGTTTAATGTTACAGATTCAATACGATATTTATATTTTTCTTGCATATAACATAACACCTTGAATAGAAACAACGTTAAAGGAGAGGGGAGACGAAGTTCGCCGCATCTTATCCAATTTCATTGTGAGAGAATTTTATAACCAATTAAGAATAAATATCGCTTCTAATCAACCAATCAGTTGTTTTCTGTCGACAATAGAGAAGTAATTTCAATTCTCTCGTGTTATCGACAATGCAGTAATTCCACTCTTGTTCTTAGGATAAGATTTTTTAAAATTTCTTACGGTAATTCTACGTTTTAATCTTCACATTTGTTACTTGGAATTTAAGAGGTGAGAAGTTTTGTCATATTTTAGAGATTTTATGTAATTATGAGAGAGTGCTCAGATTTTTATGTAAATTAATTCATTTCGATACTTAAATTCAGTATTTAATTTTAGCAGTATTAACTTCATTTTCTTTGTTAGCTTTCTTGTTGTTTTGCTTATTCTTATCTACTGTAAACGTGTATACTTTTAAAGATGGGTGTGACTTATTTTCCCACGTTACTTTCCGCTTTCGTTTCCTGCTCGTACTTAAAGAACTTTTGCACTTTTTTAACAGTACTTTTGATTAATTTAAACGTTTTTAAACGAATAACAAAATGTAAATAGGAATAAGCTCGGTAATATCTTAATACAATGGATAGCAGTTAAATTCTTGTAAACCACGTTAGCTGTTAGTTTCCTTATTTATTTGATTAAAAATGATTAATTTTTAGTTGCCAAGAGCGTAAAGATATTTTAATTACTAATTTATCAACATTCGTATGCAAATATGCTTAAGGGGTTATCCACATGCTTTCTTCTCAAGTTTGAAAGGACCGTTACTTGATTTTGTCGCATCTCCAGTGTCTTTTAAATGACTGATTTTTTTAACCCATTTTTATTGGATCTTTATGGCATTTTTATTTCAAAAACGAAAGAAATTAAAGTTAATTGTTATCAAATGTAACAATGTAACACCCTTTTTCTTCTATTTTGTTATTTATTCATTTTTTTTTGTGTGTGTGTTAAGTGTTTAAACTTTATAATCGTTTAACAGTTTTTTCGTTTCTGGATAGTTTGTTCTGTTCTTGACAGCGAAGTTTTCGTACAGTTTGTAAGTAATAGAACTTTTCAAAGAAATTGCACATTCAGAACAGCAGTACCGTAAATAATTGACTTCACAAATGTTTAGCCTTGGAAAGGTAAATTAATGAAGGGTCCGGGAGTGACCTACCATTATCTTGTTTTCAAGGCTAAAATGTTTGGCTTCAGGCACATTTGTAATAACTATATCCAGTTGTGATAAACAACAAATTACACGTGGATAGATTTACGCAGGCATGTAGGAAAAAACCAAATTCAAAAATGAATCGTTTTTAATAGAATATATGAAATATATTAAACCGAATTTATGTACAGTACTGTACTTTTTTAGTTTTGGTGGATTGAGTTTAACATTTTATCATTACGCGAGCTAATTAACGATAAATGCCTCTCCTTTTTCTTTTGATTTCATACCTGTCTACCAATACGTTTGATAATTTTAATCACGTAGTCTGTGAAGAAATTGACGTATAGAAACATTGAAGTCGCAAGGACAGTTTTTAGATTTTCGCTTGGACAACCACGCCTTTGTTGTCAAGTTTTCTTATAACCGTAATTGAGCATATTAAAGATCATAAAAACATATTAAGTATGTTCGGTGTTGAAACGTGAATTACAATAAAACATAAAAAGCAATGTTTTTTCCGATTAGTCGGGAATTTTCCAATATCTTTATGTATTGTACATACGTTTTATAGTTTTGCTATTAGGAAGATGATTTTCGTGCTTAACCGATAACCTTTTTAATTTCAAAATGTCAGAACATTGTAAATTATATATAGGCCTATATATATATAATTTACAATCTTTAAATAGTTGTTTTTTATTTATTTATTTATTTATTTATATAGTCGAACCGCCAATAACGGCTACAGTTTTTATAAATGGCGGTCATTTTTCAGGAACGTCGAAAAAACTGCATGCAAAATGGTCTCCAGACAACGACAGTTTTTACGTTCCATCAATGACCATTGTTCGGAGTTTTAAAATAATAAAACCTCCGAACAATGGTTTTCAAATAGCGATAGCTATAGTGAAAGAATTAGAGGTACGAGATGAGGAATTTTGACATTTCAAATATAGGAGGACTCCATTGTATTGTCACAGAAAAAAGGAAAATTTAGAGAAGAAAGTTTGACGAATCATGGAGTCTGTAAACTGCATCCTGCTCCGGATTCCTGCCATAGAGAAGGCTTTGGTAAGTGGCCAAACTTCAGCATTCAAAGAGACGTTGCAAAGAAAGTAGTGACTTTCGTAGTCCTACATTAACTGTTGATACTAAAGAAATACAGACCATAAGTTCGTAAGCTCACCCCTCCCCAGATTGCAGAGAAAGTTCAACTGTAGAACTAAAAAGTTGGTTTAAACGTTAAATCAAATTTCTTCTATGTCTTAGACTACGTAATGTACAGTTAATGTATGATTTATCTGCAAGAAAATAAGTCTGTTTTGCAAAATCTGTCAGCAAGCCGGTGATGTCTTCTAGATTTAAGTTCGGCAAATGAAATACACCGATATTTTGAAGCATTTTATCTAATATTCATCGGGAACAGTTTACAGGAAGAGAATTTATTATTGACATTTGAAACACCGTAAAGATATTTAGATGTATTGAAGGTCAGGACTTTAATGTCATCCGCTGACTTATCAGATTTTATTAAATATAGACGTAATTTATTTGCAAAAATTATTTGAATAAAATCATTTTTCATCGTTTAAAATTTTGCGTAAACAACATTTTTTGTTGCATCATTGAGTGAGTAAATATTCTGACATAGTGTGATGCAATTATCGTCGTATTTTCTGAATCTTTTCTAATGTGGTTTGTCGATTTTAACTAATCGTCCACCATACGATGTTATACATTCGGATACACCTTACATTACATGAAATATTGCAAGTAGTTTAGATTGAAAATGGGTTTAATCGATAGAAAACTGACAAACCTCGTGTAGTCGTTCATAATTTACAATATTTACCCGTTTCCATTTCGACTTTTTGGCACCGAATAACATCTTTTGTTCTATTATTTTCTATTGAAACTTGCACGTATAAGAACTCGATTTTTCATTATCGGTATAAACTATAAACAATAGGATTAATCTTTATAAACAACTGAACCGAAGATAGCTGCTATAAACGTTTTTATCTAACTCGAATGTTGGGTTATTGAGTGACCTTCATACATAAGCAAAAGGGTAGAATATAACACAGTGTATATATGTATATATATACGAGCGAACTCTATTTAACTGAATGATTGCCTTTCACTTATGGCGAACACGTATTGCGCGTGTGATAAGTGCATACACTAGTAACACTTGTCTCTTTACGTGGCGTGTTTTGTTTGGAGACTATACATTAGCTCTCTATATATCATATTTTATTGATCATTAAGACGTGAATACCGTATTTAGTTTACTGAAAAACTAAAGGATGTAGTGCGTGATCTATAAAATTGATCGAAACGGGATTTAATCTACGTTTATTAATTGAATGAAGCTATAAATGTTAAATACGTTTTTTTGCTTTTTTAAAATTAAAATTTGCGTGACTTCGTATATAATTAATTGGGTTCTCCGGTCCTCTAAGCTTTCCCTATCCTGTCTCGGTTTTCATCTAACTCCATTCTCGAGATTAACGAATGACAGACAGACGGACGTCAGTGGGAATGTATAGATCTATAATTTGAAAATTGCAGCCCACTTATTGGTATTATTTCTTGTTATTAATATTGTAACACTACCCCCAAAGAAATTACAACTACAGTAAAGCTTAGTTCACATTGAGCGCGATTCGCTGGCGAAAGCGAAAAACAGAGCGAATAGCCAGTCAAACATGACTCGTTTGACGGGTTATTCGCTCTGTTTTTCGCTTTCGCTAGCGAATCGCGCCCAGTGTGAACTAAGCTTAATTCTCCTTTATTAAAGAACATTCCCACCGTGTCACTTAGGGTCGCCATCTTTGGAAACTCTTTCGGAAGGTAAATTAAAAAATGCGCTTCTTCTTTTTCATACTTCTCGCAATTCGCATGCCTTATAAATGCTTTATTCCGTCGTATTTAGCACTAAATTGAGGTTCGGCAAACGATGCAACGTGCCGAACAAATATCATCATCATGAGTTAACCAAGTTTTGAATTCATTCACTTGAGCCAGCAGGTTTTCCTAAATTGTAAAATTGCACGAAATTTTTTCGAGGAAAGAAGAATCAAACGAATCCCTACATTGTTTCATCTTGAAAAAAAAAAAAAAAAAAAACGATTTTTAAACTCGAAACGGCAGTAAATTACAATTGTTTTAAGGATTGCTCGATTCCGGTTCTTCGACAAAATGCCCAATTTTTCGGGTTCCGATTAATTGTTTCATCATTAGTTTGAATAGAAGCGAACGAGATTTACAGAAAAACAAGCAAATGTGAAATTGGGTGTTGGCCTGACGTAACTCTTCTCTCTCCCGGGAAAGCTTTTATGGGTTTTAAGTATTTTTGTATTTTGATTTAACGTCCCGTCTTTATACTGTAAAAACTATCCAATTTTTTTTTCTTTATTTTAAAGTCACAGTAGTTTGTTCTTACACTCGTTGGAGTCAAGATATGTTTCTTTTGAGTCTTACAAGTAATAGAATTAAATTTGTTTTGAGTAGGATAACAATTTTTTAGATACTACAGTACATGTAAATGGTTAGTTTTATTATAAACTAGCTGCAAGGACCCGCTTCGCTGGTCAAAAAGTAACGATAGTGAAGATTAAGATAATTACATTATAGCTAATCTTACCCGTTTTCACAAAATGCAAGAATTAGGTCCCCTGTTTCCAGACTAATTAGAGAATTTTTACGTTTAGTCAAACGAACTATTTTCAACGTTTCTGGAACGTTTACAATCGTTCTATAATCGAACCAATATTCGAATTTTATGTTCGAATTTAATTCGAACAAATTCGAACAAAACATTCGAAATAGAAAGCCACTTTCAACCACTTTCAGCCTCATATCTTCTGCACCCTTTAGCTATCAAGACACAACCCCCATAGTGCACGAACGGAGACTTGGGGCTACTACCACATACAAACACCATTCACTTGAGATGTGTAGTTTTGGCAGAAAAGTGAAATATAGGGACATACACGTCCATTTTATATATATATATATATATATATATCTAGATATAGATAATACTTTTCTGTAGCATTATTTCTATATGTTGGCCTGACGTATAAGGTTTGTAACTATTTCTTTCATCTGTATAATACTACAGTACAGCATAATTATTACAGTACTCCAGTCGGATAAGCTTCATTTGCCGGAACACTAATTTTTTAAGTTCTTCTAGTAAAAGAAACATGCAAAATATAACAAACAATTTATACTTAGTTAAATACAAAGTTCTTTAAACATACATACATATTCGTGGATGGACGGTTTTCGTAGAAATTATCATGAAACACACTCAAATTTATTTTATTTTAACGGTTACAGACTAACTTCACACCCCACCGAAACTTATGCCTAGGCTAAGAGGGAAAGAAAATGTACTTTTAAAATTCTGACTTGCAAATATCTTTGGAAAATATCAGGTTTGTTCCAACACAATTCCCTAACTGGCATGTTCATTGTTCAGTTCTTTACCGTAAAATGACATTTCTCATGCCTGGTACGGTTTCAAATTCAAACCAGTCAGGGACTTGTGTTGGAACAAATCTATTGTTCAGGAAAGCAATTTTGAAAAGGTAACAACACTAGATTGAAGGTTTGGAAGATCAGGTGGTAAGTGTGGATCGCCGTAAGATAATTACTCCGTTCTGCATCAGTCTTCCAGAATCTTAACTTAATTTGATTGAAAATTAATTTCTGTTATATTGATTTGTTCGGAAGGTTCGTAGCGATTTTTCATAGCTGACAGTTGAGACACTGGGTGAAGCGAAAATTATTAATTGTATGAATCGATGAATATTACGAAAAATGACGTTGTCCGTTACAAAAATCCGTTAAGATTTTTTTAAAATAACTGATCTTATTGTGAAAATGGAAGCAAGAATGTTGCATTTTCGACATTTGTTTCAGTTTCTTTTATCGAAAAGGCAAAAATGCCGTACGAACAGCGAAAGAAACACGATGTTTATGGTGAGGTTGCTGTAGCAGTCAACTATACGAAAAGGTTATTCGCGAAATTTAAGGTGGGTAATTTCGACCTTTGAAGATGCCTCACGCTCCGGAAGACCTGCCATTATTGAAGAGGGCCAGATCAAAACATTGGATGGCATCCCTCGTTACACAACGTGGGAGTAACAGACATAATGAAGTCATCGAAGAGTATTGTATTTCAACATCTGAAGAAGCTCTGATATATGAATCGTTACATTTGGGTACCTCACGACTTAACGGAAAAGAACTTTTACTGTATCGAATCTTCATTTGTGATTGTCTTCAAAAACGAAATGATAATGTCACAAAACGTTTCAGAAAAGGGTCAAGCTATGAAAAGTGATCGTTTATAGCGTCAGCGCAAACGATCGTGGGGCAAGAAAAAAGAACCACTACTAAAAACTCCAAAGGTCAGTCTTCATCCGAAGAAGGTCATGCTCACTGTCTGGTGGGATTGGAAAATAATTCTGCACTACGAGCCGTTTACACAGAATCAAACAATCAATCTGATAAGTATTGTTCCCAACTGGATTAACTGAAGATGGCAATTGAAGGAAAATTTCCGGAATTGGCCAACAGAAAAGGCATTGTTTCATCAAGATAATGCCAGACCGCACATTTCTTTACGAACACGCAAAAAATTATTGCAACTAAGATGTGATGTTTTACCCCATCCTCCATACCTGACCTTGCCCCGTCAGACTACCATTTGTTCTGGGTTCTGCAGAATTTTCTTCGTGATAAACTTTTGTAATTTAGAAGCTTGCAAATACCATGTGGAACAGTATTTTTCACAGGAAAACTAAGCTTCTCCGTAGTGGCTACAAGTCATTAAAACAATGATACATACATTAAAAAATACATAATTGAATAAAGGTATGTTTTTAGTTTTAAAATCGTTTCTTCATTTCTTTTGATGACTGCGAATTTTCCGAACAAGTTTCTCGTCTGAGAGCTAAGTTGTTTTATGTTACTCTATCATTTAAGTTTATGATAAGCTAAGATATGCCTACCTATGCTAAGACATGTTTATTTCGTATTTTAAACTCAAAAAAACACAACACCTTAATTTGCTGAGAAAACTTTTAATGAAAAGCTAACGTTTTCAGCCAACTCTATTGGCCATCATCAGGCTAAGCTTTTTCGAATACAAAGAAAATAGAACAAAAATTTTTAAATACAAAAAAACAAAATAACGAACGAAATATATATATATAAATAAATGTATAAATAAAAATAAAATAAAATAAAAACTCTTATTATAAAATATGTATATGAAAAAAAGCATAGGATAATTAAACTAAAAACGTAACACAATAATACATTATGCTAAATTCTATAAACCGCAAGATATGCAAAAAAACACTAAAAACAAGGCATTAAGATCTGTCCATTCGCTTGATTAAGTATTTCCAGGCGGAAGGCAACCCTTCAGCATCCCTAGAATTAATGCATTTATCATGTAATCTGCTCCTGTATATTTCAATCTTTTCTGCGCAAATCGCCAAAGTTGGTGAATGTACTGGTTTAATAATACTTGCTTCGTCCCATTTGACGATTGAGCCCTCAACTTGCGCCATTTGCGATAGTATTGTGGCGTTAGATCCCTTACTGATATTGTACTTGTGTTCTTTTAATCTGACTCCTAAATTTCTGTTAGTGACACCAATATAATTTTTATTAATGTCTAGTTCACGATTTTCATATGGAATCTTGTATACACCTGCTCTTTTTTCTTTATCTATGCTGTCTTTGTCATTCCTTAATAATCTGTACAGATTAGGAGCTCTCTTGAAAATTAACCTGGACTCTTTGCGGGCTGAGATTTCTTTCATGATGGCTTTTCTCTTTCTATCATACGTGAACTTCGTGATTTTGCCGAAACCGTCGTTTTGCGTTTTAGTTTTATTTGTTTTGTATTTTCTGACCAATGTTGTTATCATACCTTCTTTGTACCCTAGAGATCTGGCAATATGCAATATTCTATTAATTTCTTTTTGCCTATCCAAGACATTACTGCAATAGAGAAAAGCCCTTTGGATAAGGGCACGGAAGGCAGCCATTTTGTACTGGTAGGGATCATTAGAATGGGACGGAATGTACAGAGGGCTATGCGTCGGTTTTACGTATACATTAGTTGTCAAACGCCCTTCTTTAAATTCAATGTCAATATCTAAAAAATGTATCCGTGAAGCACATTTTTGTTCAATCTTCAACATGAGACCATCATTGTTGCTGTTTATCATGTTGATAAACTCATCAATCTTTTGGTCATTCTTCCAAATTACCAATACATCGTCCACGTATCTTTTAAAATACACAATGGCATTTAAGAAAACAGAAAGAGCACTTTTTTCCAACCTTCTCAATACAAGCTCACATAAAAGTCCTGACATGGGACTTCCCATAGGGACTCCTCTTCTTTGTCTGTATCGACGGCCATTAAATGCGAAAAAAGATTGATAACAAATAAGGTTAGCTAGTTCGATCAAATCATTATTGTAACCCGCCAAATTTGGGCTCTTGCTCAGCATGAAGTCTAAAAGTGCTACTCTGCATGATTCAATTTTTATAGATGGGTATAAACTTTCATAGTCCATCACTGTTCCAATTTCATCCTCCATTAAAACTAGATCTTGTATCTCATTAACCACTTCTCTTGGATCATGCGCCACATGTATATTATTCTCGAGGTGCGAGGTGAGAAACTTATGTAATCTCTTTTCAAGAATAAACGTTGGTCCTCTGCACCTTTCCACTACAGGTCTCATTTCTTTACCCTCTTTATGGGTCTTAGCAAAAGCAAACAATCTTGGCAAATTTCTCAGCAAATTAAGGTGTTGTGTTTTTTTGAGTTTACAAGCAAGTGCTGAGTGAGTGTAATATAGTTCGTATTTTAATTAATAGAATACAGTTGATGGAAATTGGTTATTTGGATTTCATTTAATCTTAATTATATATATGGAAATAAATTGTAGAATGCTTTATGGGAGGAGTATACAATTACAAGAAAAATTTAAAAAAATTAAAATTCGTTCGATCGCTTTCAAATTAGATTCATGTCCAATTCGAAAGCGCTCGAACAGATTTGTCGTGTGTTCCACGTATTTGAAATTTTTGATTTCATTAAAAACTTTTCTTGGTAGTTTACTTAAACTGTTTATATACGCTCTTCACTTCTTTTAGAAAAAAATATCCACGAGTCCTTTTTTTGTGAGAGATTATTCTCTGTTTTTAAAATCTGTTAGGATACCAAACGTGGTAAGATTTATCTTTCAAAATATGTGGTACACATTTTTCAGTAGAATGTATAGTAATTTAGTCTATTGAGATAAAGGAACCCAGATTTGAATCTCGTTCGGAATTTCGAGATTGTGTTTGTTTAGTGATCGCTTATTCCTCACTCATTGTGGAACTCATGATGTGGATGTCTTGTACTGCATCAACAATCATATTTCTACTTACGGTGCCTTGCTAACTAATTCCTGCTACACTGTAGACATTATATTTACGTGTCAATGATTGATACAAAATATTTTTTAATACTTTTATAATTTTAAATGATTTTAGAAATCTTTCTGTGAACTAAGCATATATTTATATTGTTTTTTCGCTCGTTCTTCGATGAGTATCTTGCAATTTTTCTCAAGATTCTAATATTTGAAAAATTATTTGAAATTGAAATAAATAGAAAAAAAAAATTTAAATACCTCGAAATTTTTATTGTAATTTTATTCATATTTTTCTTTTTGTTTTACAGGAAAATGAGTGATGGCTGGCGAAACTGTGAAACCAAATTTGTATCTGCCTCCGAGTATCAGCCCCGCGATCGTTGCCAAACTCATCATTCAGATTTTAGAATGCAAGAGATCATCCTGTAAATGCGAAACCAGCAAAGAAATATTGCATTTTGCAATGAAAATACTTCTGAGCGAAGATGACTCTTCTCTTTATTCGGACCATAAGTTTCGTACGATCACCAAATTTTCTTCGTGCCTGCGCACGAAGAACGTTGCCACACAAACGAGACGTTGGAAACGTAATTCTTGTACCATTCAGACTGACTCAGAAACTGTGATACCAAAGAAATCTATTTCTGTACAGACCGAAAAAACACGATTCAAGCTTCTTCAGAGCAAAATCAAACAGCGAATTCCGAATGGTTCTACTAAATCAGTTTCCACGCAAGCTAATTTATTAGAATTTGTAAATGTGGCTAATAAAGAAAATATCGAAGACATATTCAAACTGCAAGATGACATGGAAGACATCAAGCATGTAGAAAACAGCGATGACAAGATGTATTCCGAGAAAAGTCCCAAAAAAGAGAAAAACAACAAAAGATTATCGAGAGTAATATATTTTCATGGAAAGAAATTAATTGAAAAGGGTAGTAAAAAATCTCCGTTTCATATACCTCTGATATGTGACAAAGATACGGAATTATCCGATCCAAGACTGAAAAATAGAGATTGTTTAAAATTGTGGAACTCTTCGGCTTTGTGGAACGTATCGCAAAAGGACGAAGAGACAGAAATGCATGTACAGAAATTGATTAACGAAGAAACTATCGAAACAAAGGTTAAAGAAGTAATAAATATTTTTCCGTTGGATTTGCACGACGAAGTAGGTTCTCATTCGTCCATGGGTACAACTGATTCAGACATCGCCAATTACGTTTCACGGAATAAGAGTGAATGTGTTAATAGATCTCACGATAAAGTTACTTGCAGTCCAGAAGACTGTTATAGCAAGCTAAACGAAATTACAAATATTGATTTCGATAGGGATTTGGAAAATGACGAAAATCACGAGACAAAAGCAAAAATGCTAGACGAAGAGTTCGACGTAGTTAATTTTACCATGAAAAATGTGTGTAAAGATCCACGACTTAAGGGGAAAAATTGCCTTTATAATAGTAGCAACAGGAATGGTAATATTGTGGCAGCAACGAATAAATCGCGCAGAGTCACAATTACAGAAGGAATGCCATTACAAGGAATCTCTGCAGAAGCTCAAAAGGTTCAACATTTGGACGAATGTTTTTGCAACTGGGCACCCAGACAAGCCTGTCCTAGTGATCCGAGAATTAAACTTCGGTGTGGAAACGTGAATTTAGATTATCGAAATCCGAAAAGAGACATCTCTTACAATAATGCAGAATTACCTCTTAAGAAACAGAAAATCGACTACGATCCAGTTGAGAACGAACTATTTTCGAGTACAAAAGCCGAAGAAATTCGAACGCCTCAGAGCGCCACTCCAGAATTCTCGCCTGCAAGTACCGAAAGTGTGTACGATTCTATAAAACTCCAAGAAAATAATATCAATGGAAAATTGGAGAAAAACTCGTGTTTTCACGAGACTGTTTCAGAAGCTACTTCACGCAAGATAAACGAAATAGAAGAAAAACTTGGCATTAAAGATCGAATATGTTCAGAAAGTTTTCAGCACAGTTATTTACGCTTAAACAACGAAAAGACGAATCATATACTAAGCAACAAAGTTTGTGATTCGACAGAGCGCCAGCATCTGAAGCTCTCTCCTGAACGGCTTAATAGTTCACCAGTCTCTACAATAAGTTCCATATCTCTCAATCAACAATCAGAAAATTTAAATAAATTTGAGGACTTTGATTCAAAATGTTCAAATCTTCACGAAAACGAAAGTTCCTTCAATGAAACAAAGTGCTCTTTGAAAGAAGCTAATTTTATAAATATCGAGAATGGTGAAAAGGCTCAATCCATGTTGCCATACAAAATGGAATATTGCGTTAACTTGTGCAAATTAAATAAAAACACAGCGAAAGTACAGAAAGAAGTTAACAAAGATGCTAGTTCTGATGATTATTCACAACATGGCATCTATTTAAATGAAAGGCACGAATCTGAGCAAACTTTACAAAAGGAATGCAGTCTGAAAGATGTAAACAAAGTTTCGTATCAGAAACCCAACACTCTTAATTGCAAAAGAGATTCTCAAGATTCTGGAATATCGGAACACAACGTTGATAAAGAAAGCATCGAAGTGTACTCACCAACTGACGAACTGAGTATGTGTAGCGACATGGAAGTGTCTTATACTCCACCGGTCCAACCGTCATCGCCGGATAGATCACCTTTATTGAACTTAGATTCTGATAAAAATTCTGCCGTTGATGCTGAAAAGGATACTACGGTCTCGATTAAAGAATTATCCAATTTTGATAAAATTCCTGAATATACCACTCAAGATATCATCGAATCTGCAAATGCGAAACCGAAACAACAGAAAGGAGAATCCGAAATGATTCAGAATTACGCGTTTATGAAGAACTGGATGAATTGTATGCCACAATGGTTCCAGCAACAATCATTATCTAACTATTACAAATGGTATAGAGACGGTAGCGAGGTGCCTACAATGCACTACCAGACATTTTATCCGCCTTACTCAAGCAATTACTTATCGGAATGGATATGTTATCCTTGGTGGAATGGAAATGCAGCCGGATGGCATTGACGAAGATTCGTACACTTTATAATGAGGCTCACATTTCACATTGGTGGAACACTGTGACATTTGTACAAATCATCTGATTTTGCTCAATCATTTCTTGTGATATAGCTTAGATATCATCGAGTTCATAACAATTGTTAAAAGATATCAACAAATTCTTCTGTACGAAGAAGTATTTAAAGAGGGGCGTAGAGAAACTTTTTATATTTTGCTACATGAAGGAGTTAGAAGAATTTTATCAGACAAGAACGGCACTCTCAGTTTCTTCATTATGTTTTTATGACATTATATATTTTAAGAAAAAATACTTTCTGTAGTTGTTTTAGGAGTAATTTCACCTTCGTTCGTTCGTTTGTTTTTGTAATCCAGTTTCTTATCCCAATGTACAGTACATACATAATATAGCAGATGTAATATTGTATTCATTTGTACTAGTCATCAATTTCGCAATTCTACCCATCATTTTTTCATATGTAATGTCGTAATATTTAAAGTAACATTGATCAAAATTACAAACAGATTTTAAAAAGATTTTTTTCCATTAAATCTGTTACTTGAGAAAATCAAATGTAATTTATTTGTGTTTTTAAATGTTTTTATTATCATTTACAATAAAAGTTATCGTTCGAAAAATATATAAATATATATATTTAAATTTGTTTACTAAACTGTTAAGCTTAACTTGAAATTTATTATTTATCCTATATTAAGAATTATATTTTTTTATTAGTTAGTGATTTAAATTTCCTTTTTAATACAGCAAGAAGTCTTTACAACATAGCAATTGTTTTTATGGCACTCCTCGTCTCAGTATTCCTTTATCAGTTTAGCACGAATTTTTAAAAATTGGTTCTTAAAAATATAATTTATTTAAAATATAAAAGGTGAACTAACTTTGTGTAATACTCGTAGTTTCTATTTACACTAAAAAAACAGAAAATAAAATAAATAACAACGTTTATCGATAGTTATTTTGAAAAAAATAGTATTGTTGCGTGACAGAGGTCTCTCAAATAAATGCACTTGCGCTATAACGTTTATAATTAATTTATACATAAAAATTAATTATTTTTCATACTTTCTCACTCACATTACGCATTCAAGGTGCCTTTTCAATTATTGCAATTTAAATCATTAATCATTTGCATCAAGGCAATCAATTATAGAACATTAATCCCATAACCAGAAGTAGAACTAAATAATAGTCCTTAATAAACGAAGCAAAGCAATTAACTATTTATCTAATATAACAATTCTTTAAATTGATATATTATATAAAGTGCAAAGATGAATTTTATTGTAATAAATAATTTCAGTTGTTAAATAATTATGTATTCGACGCCAGTCATGTGCTGGGAAAAACCGATGAGTCATATTAACGTCACACTTTTCCTATTGTGCGACTTCCTTTTACATAAATTTTCTTTCTTACTGAATATTTTCCTTTCATAATTTTTAATATTAAAAAATTCTTATTCTGTTATTATGTGTTAGGCCCCATTTCTCCTCACCCATACCCATTGTGGGCCCACTATGGGTTGAAAAAGACCCATTTAGTGCTCGCAGAATGAAATAAATTGCAAATGCCTTACAAAATGTTAATTAATATGAGAAAATTCGTTCGCTTGAATTACTGTCTTATGAATTTTTAAAGTAGCTTTTCTCTTATCTAAAAAGGTAAGTACCATTTAACAATGAAAACTTTTTGTTATTAATCTTGTAAAACTGATATTATTTTATTTTCTTCTAGATTTTTTAATGAAGTCTTAAGTTACGAAGACCTGTAAAACACAATTGTCACTGAAGAGCTTATTTTATATACTAATATACAATTCAAAATTATACTCTGATCACATCAAATAAATTTTTAAACTCCGATAATATATTTTAAAACCTATTATTGGAGTTTAAGGAAAATGTCTCTTGTTTTATTTTTCTACTTTATATAAAAGTAACCCTTTATATTGTTGACGAATTATTATATAAGCGCCATTTAATGAAATAATACAATTCATATATTGTATATTATTAATTCATTGAATTGTGCCTTTTATAAGGATGCTGAAAAAATTTGGAGTATCCTGTGTAATTATATATATTTACACACAAGTGTAGTTGTGTCGTACTTTTTGAAAATTGCAGTTAGATGGTGACTTCTTGCACATGGTAGAGAACTATAGTATAAGAAAGGATTTACCACAACCTAAAAGAAGATAACGAAAAATTTACATATTTCCCTCTCAATAGGTTATACCAGGGGTGGCCAAAACGTGGACGACTACAAGTGGCGCTTTGGTGCAATCGACCTGTTGACCTTTGTTTTTTTTTGCTTGTACGTCACACGACGCATTCGTGTTTATATACACTACACCACTGATGTCATATAGAACTGTTTTATACGGGTAGCTACACTGCAACCGCATTTTTCATTGCTTGTTCTGTGGCAAATCTGAATTTTCGTCTTATAAATTGAAATACCTAAATAAGGGGTGGCCGAAATTTTTCTCCACCCCGGGCTGCTAACACTCATGGTACGCCACTGCGCATGTGAACTCGTCTATCAAAAAATTGGCGCATGGTATGCAAAAGGTTGGCCACCCCTGGGTTATACGAAGTACCCTATTCAGCACTGTAGAGAAATTCTCTATTGACCAGAAGTAACTAACTCAAGTATGAAATTCCAGAGAATGAGGAATAAACTTCCATAAAAAGTTTAGTATCAAACTCGCCACCATGGCACTTCTGGTATTGCATGAAAAAATTTGTGCAAGGCATCCTATACAGAGACCAGTGTTGTAAGGCATATCCAATATGGTGTCCTTTCTGCGGTTCAAAACCTGAAGACGAGGTGTGTTAACCAGACGAGATCCTCTGTGATCTCGTACAATGATACCATGTTTCAAGCCTGTTAAATTTGCAACATGTCCTCTCCAACAAAAAATTCACGGAAAAGCATCATGACAAGTTTTCATGATTACAAGCGAGCATCGATAATGATATATCATTTCTGGAAAATAAACATTATATTGTTTGAATGTCCTAACGGTTGTAACAGTCGTAAGACAAGTTTCGTGAAATGTAATGCAATTTACAAAGTGTACAAGTATCATCAAATTGAAAAAAGTTCTGAACTTGACTCGTAAATGTTATGTATATACAAACAATACGACAAAGAAACAATTCCAACAAAACAGCTTAACATTCAAATCTTTTATTTAAACTGTGTTACTCATTCTGTAGTTTGAACAATGATGTCATTAATATCAACATAATCTGGCATTTTCAATACATTTAAAACAGCATTGGCTATGTTTTCGGGTTGAAGAGATAAACGGTTTTTATAGGTAAGTTTAGCAAGTTCAGGATTTTTCAACATCCTTTCCAGAAATTCTGTTTCCACTATACCAGGACTGATGCACTGCAACAGAAAAAAAGATATATAAGCATAAAGAAGCATATCGCATAAAGAAAAAAAGATATTATATAAATTTTCAATTAATCTAAAACAAAATATTAAACTGTAAACTTACACAAACTCTTATTTTGCTTTTCTCGGCTCTTAATTCCTGTCGTAATCCTTCTGCCAATGCTTTTACCATATGCTTCGTTCCCGAATAAAAACTTAATCCAGTATGTGACATAACGTGGTGTGCAAGTATACTAATTAAAATGAAACATACAAATCAAAACTATAATTCAGCAGAATATATATAAACGTTTAACGTTACTTTTCGTTTATACACATAAGGGCATATTTGATGCTACATTGCTCGGGTCAGGATGACAACAAAACCTGTGTAAGCCACGAAGTCAAAGGTTGAGAAACACTGAATTAGTTTGATCTTAAACGATCCATTGTAAAATATCTATACTCGCAGCTATATCAATTGTACTTATATAAATAAATTCATCAAGGAAATACCACTTTCCTTTTCCTTTAAAGGATATTTATGATGCCTTAACACGCGATAACTGAATTAAAATACGATAAAATTGGGTGTCAAACTATCGTGCAGCATGAAATATGATGAATGTCATGAAGATTGCTATTTCAATATCAAGATAGGTTTTAAATTTCAAGCAAGAAACAATGCCATAAATATATATAACAGGAGTGACAAAATATAGATAAATATACACTAACCACATCTCTGATTTTATATTTTTCTAGTCCACGACTTAAAAATTGTAATCATCAGAAGGAAAATTAAGAAAAGTAGTATTTAAGCAGAGGTTTAGAAAAAATAATTTCCTGTATTAATATAAAACTGCAATAACAATTGATTATTAGATATATTTCGTAAGTTCATTCTGTAATATCTTCGACTAAAGAAAATCATGTTTGATTTTATAAGGAACTAAGAATTCTCTTTACATATTTAATAGCTATTATATTCAGATTCGTGACTAAATTATTATTTTCTACGTCCAAGTCGTGATTGTTTTCTTTGAAAACAATCATGAGCTGTCATCATAAATTACTATGTGATTGGTTATATTATTTACGTTACCTTATAAATTTACTGAATTACTGGAGTCTGCTACTAAAAATTAGATAGAATTTTTATTAAATTGTACTGTTTTATATCTGAAATAAAATAGTTTAACACAACATAGCTAAAAAGCTAATTTCTAATGAAACATTTTCAGATTAATTTTACTTTTAAAAATATACTTACCTGCTGATATGTATTATCTGCCCGTCATTTATTTCTTTTTCTTTCATCAGTGTTATTGCTTCGCGGGTGAAAATGCACAATGCGAGAACGTTAACCTTAGAAATTTCAAGAGGTTAAGTTTTATTTGGTACTATAATGAATAATAATATCAAATCCTTCATTATTTAATAAATTTTGGTCAAGATTTTGGTAAGTAATTATTAAAATTCAGCAATCTTAAGCGCGATATCTGCGAGGATTCATATACCAACCTTGATATGTACAATAATCTACCTTCAATGATGATTGATGAAGGTTGATCATTGTATATGTCTCGTTCTACCTTCGTTAATTAAAATTACTCATCAATATTATTGATATTTTCAGTGTTATACTATGCCTAAAAAGCAACTATAAATACAGCTAAGGAAATACAAAATCAATTTATATAGGGATTAAAAATGAAATACAGTGATATCTCGTTCTTCAAACGCTTCAAAGTTCGAACTGCCGGCGTATTGGAAAAAGAAAATGCGTTCAAAGCATTAAATATGCTTCGAAACAAAAAATACATCCTGAAATTAGCAGTAATGTGTTAAATTTCACAAGTTACACTTCTACCTTAAGTAACAACAGTCATTGAATATACACAAAAACTGTGTTCAACCCAATTTAACCATGGCACCCGAGAAGTGTGTGTAAGTAACGAAGTCTAACAAGTAAAGGGAAGCTGTTATATCGACCATTGAAATAAAAAGGAACTTATAGAAAAGCACGAAAGCCGTATACGCGTGAAATCTGGCAGCCATGTTTAAGATGACGAAGTCCACGGTGTGTGAACAGTAAACACAAATTTCATTTTATTATACGATATTTATGTATTGTTTTCGTGTTTTAATTTATTCTTAGCACATTTAATTGTTATTTTTACCTTAAATTGTGTTTGCTACTTTAAGTTTATCGAAATGAGTATTGTTTAGGGTCTGAGGATGAATTAATTCGCTTTCCATTATTTCTAATGGGCTTTCTGGAATGAATTAAATTCGAAGTGCGAGGCACCACTACGTGTTTGTAGAATTTACTTATAAATAATACAATATAGATAAATGTCTTACGTCTATAATATTTTTCCAATCATCTGTCTTGCCGTTCATTAAAGGACAGACTTTAGATATGCCAGCATTGTTAATACATATATCAATTTGTCCATAATGTTCTCGAATTTTTTGAAAAACATTCAAAATTTCCAATTCGTTCGTCACATCGCATCTATAACAATTTCAAAAATTATAAAACAAATAAGTTCATTATTAGTGTATGATAGATTCAAAATATCTTACTTTATTGGTAGCAATTCACCTGGAGAGTGTGATGCCAATTCTCCAGCTAATTTTTCAATAGCATTTACATTTCTAGCACAACCAATCACTTTCATTCCATTTTTTACTAATTCTCTACATATTGAAGCACCTATACCCACAGAAGCACCCGTTACCAAAGCCACTCTACCCATCCAGCGATTCATTTCGATTACCTATATAATGTGAAGCGTACTTTAATACTCCTCAGTTTGATTTCCATCATGTTACGAAATACAAACCGATTTCCTTTATAGATTTTATTGTCTGATACAGGCAGTTTAAATGGAAAAAGGTGAGAATTCAACTGAACAGTTTTTTCAGTTGAATTCTCACCAGTTTTTCTTGGAATTCCAATTGGTCCAATAGCCAAGTGGATAAAACCACTGAACACTGATAGTTGGGGTCGTGGATTTCCGACTCAATATCCAGCTGGCCACGAGTTTTTCGGGTTTTCTTTACGTCAGTAACGCTCATAAAGAACCTCCCGCGAGGCATTTCCCTTGACAGATCGCCCATGTGTCGAGTTTTCTTTATCGAATAAAATCGAACCAACCAGTATCCGCTATATCACATCTCTATGTGGTACAAGTTCATAATAATGAGTTATTTATAGATTTTATTTCAGGAAGTATTTTTCAATAAGTTTTACTCAATAGAATGATAGTAGCCTACCAGTGAAGGATATCCGTTGAATATATCTGAAACCTTCATACATGTACATTAAGATCAAAACCAGCTGCTTTTGAATCAATATTGGGTTTAATAGATTCTATCGATAAGTAATTTGTGCTAATTTTACAACTTTTCTGTAGGTTTATGCAATATAAAGAATGCACTAATCAATGTTAGTACAAATAAGAAAAGATATAACAATTTTCATTGTTTTAACTGATTCAATTAAAGGAAACCTGACATTTTACAGCTTTTCTATGATTCCTTTTTAAAATTTAAATACAGTAATATTTTGTTTTATAAATGTAAATATAATTCCTTAATATAAAAGGAAAAGAAAGGAATGTTTAATTTCTCATTAGACAGCCCTTCTACGAATTAGCTACTTTATCGATGTCAGTCTCTAGTTTTGAATTATGTTTATTTTCAATATTTTATAATATAATTTTTAACGTAAAATGTAGTTGTTGACAATAGAAATATGATGTACTGCATTGTGAAATCAAAATTTACTTTTGTAACTATATAAAATTGTCGGCATCAAAAGTTTTAGTATTAAATCTTTTAAAAATTTGCCTTAATAACAAAAGCATTCAAAGATTCAAATTATATTTTTAAAATAAATTTTCAAGGAATAAAATATCACTTTTTATCAGTTGTTAGAACATGAAATATCTCATCCGTTCTGAAATGTTGCAACTGAAGACTTCCGCCTGTACAGCTGTCTTATTAACGTTATAAGCAATAATTTCAAAACAATAAATTATTTATTCTAATTGATAATGTAGAAATTAATAATAAATGCTCTATAAATTTTGTCAAAATCTAATTATCATTTTTATATTGTAAAAATTTTACAATGTAAAGAATCATGTAAATAAAATAATTATTAATGGGCACTAAGAGGACATTTTCCGGGCACATAATGAGTAATGGGGCCCAAAGTATCCAGGACAGACCTCCCAAAATAATTCCTGGGGTTGTTCACCCGAATTCGACCCCGAGTCCTCCAGAGCGGTAGCCTGCATCTTAACCATATTGGCCATCAGGTGTTTAGGATGGCCATATGGTTAAGATGCAGGCTACCTTTTGCCAAAATGTCCCCTCGGAAAGACTTTATATGGTAAGGTAGCCCATATTCAGGCATTATATCCAAGTGAAGAAAGCCCAGAAAACTGCAGCCCGCTGAAGAGGCGTGAACCCGCTGTGACCGACTACCAATATTTAGTGGTTTTATTCATTTGATCACCGTTGGGCACAATTTTGCTTTTAGTAACAAAATAATTCAGATTTTGTGCACAAGTTTTAAATATTTATTTAAAATTTAATGTAAAGGATAAACCATATTCACGTGTTTTTTCAGCACGGATGTATTAATTAAAGATACTGACATTCTAAGAATTTCTACTCGTTAGTTATATCCGGTCTAAAATATTTTTTGTAATGTAATGATTACAAAATATTACAGGAATGTTACGTTCATTTTGCCTTATCTCAATTAAAAATTTCCGGAAAGGATAGGGAAAGCAATCGCATGTAGTAGAATTGTGAATAACCTAAAATGGTTGGCATAGATTATTTAATTTTTATAAAATATACTAATCTTCAAATACATTCAATTAATTACACAAATACTGTTATTGTACACATTAATGGAGTAAATAGAAACTTAGAATAGAAGGCTTCTACTCCATTGGGAATATATGGAATCGAATCCGTGTTTGGATTTTAGCAAGTGCTGGCAATCTCTGAGATTCAAGTGCAGATGTGGCAGGATTCTCAGTTGAGTGACACTTCTTGGACCTAGTTGAAGAACCTACGACATCTCTTTGGATCCTCAAATAGACGGGAAACCGGATAGTCTGGTTCCCCGCTCCACGACTTCCAATCGTCTCTGGCACAAAGAACTTTTAAGATTCAAGATTCTGAGTCACTTCCTACAAAAGCCACAAGATAATTTATTTCAGATTGCATTTCAGTGCGGATAGTAAGTATCTCAAACAACTGTAAGTGGTGTACAGTACAGTATATGAAGAAGAGAAAATCTAGAACAACCTGGAGTACTTTTCTTCTAGACATAAAGAAACTTGAGTTGTTTGAAGATTCTATAATATAAATGTGCCTCTGAATATGAATTAAAAAACACTCACAGAAGAAATTAAACTTTCTAAATTTTAATAGTTTATTTGGGGTTTTAAACTATTTATTTTTATAAATATACATAGATTAAGTGTTATTATCTAATAAAGCAAAATTTTCAATAAAATATATAGTTGTTGAGATTTGAAATACAAAAAAAATCCAGCAAAGAGAGTTGCGTAACTTTTCCGCTGTTATGAGTTTTTATTTGAAAGATATAACTTTTATCATTAATTAAGGAAATAAATAAATAAAATTGTATGTGGCTCCATCTGTTATGAGATTTTGTTATAAAAAACTTTTTACATATTTTAATTACTATAAAATGGCAAAAAAGCTTAATTTTGACGGTAGGGATGAGTTTTGTAAAGGAATTGTGAATGTTAATAACGGATAAAATTCATTAAGTCTTATCTCTCTGGAGATATGACAAATGACATCCCTTTATCACACTTTTATGTGAATTGGATCAATACTTGAATTCACAGAAACTTGTAAATGCAAAAACAGTACTTAAAACCAATAAATAAACGACTTTTAATATCAAAAGAAAGCATAATTTATCTGTTTTCTGATTTAGAACCTTGACAAATTTATTGATTCACTATCAGCTGTAGTTTCAAGGACAATGGTGGGAATAAAATACCGTATTTCGTTGCAATTGATAATTTATTTACTCAAGTGCTTTAAAAAATTTGAGAGAGAAAAAAAAGTGGAGACTAGCAGTTCCTTAATCAGTTTATCTAGTAACCACGGTATTATATATACTAATGCATAATCGCTTATTGATATAGGTATAAAGAAACAAAGTACGAATCATGTACAGAGTACGTGATTCGCACGTGATACAAGTGACTGTTAATCTAAAACATGTAATTAACTATCATCATAAAAGTTGCAGAAAGTTGTAGAGTTTAATTAAATATCCTCTCTTGTATATTAACAACAGGTTGTAGTACTTACAAGGGTAAGACTTTCTTCTCGTTTTAATTCATAAATAAAAGTTTAGGTTGGTAATAAAAGTTGCATTCATTAGTAATTAGTTATGTATTAAGTTTAATTATTATTTAATTCCATTAGACGTTTCTGAAATTCTGCTTTATACATGGATCGCTGGGTTGGTAAAGTAGCCTTGGTTACGGGTGCTTCTACAGGTATAGGTGCCTCCATTTGTAAAGGATTGGTAAGAAATGGGATGAAAGTCGTTGGTTGCGCTAGAAATGTAGATGCCATCAAAAAAATAGCAGAAGAATTGGGATCTTTTACTCACGGTGAATTGTTACCCATAAAGTAAGTCATTCTGAATTTCTGGTATAAATCTACATTGTTTTTTTCTAATTGGTGATTTTTCTAGATGTGATTTAACTAACGAATCGGAAATTTTGAACATGTTTCAAGAAATTAAAAAACATTATGGACGAATTGATGTTTGTATTAATAATGCTGGTGTCTCTAAAATCTGTCCCTTAATGAGCGGTAACACGGATCATTGGAGAAATATTCTAGACGTAAGTAGTGTTGGATAGTTCTAGATAATAAGTAGCTTGTTTAGCATACGTCCTTGTTAGTGAGAATGACTTTACTATTAGCGCGCAATTTGCTATTAACTGCTAATAGTAGAGTTAACTCTTTTCGTCCTGTGGGCACTAAGAAGGCCTTTTTACTAAGTCAATTGTGGGTTCAGCCAGGTACACAATGAGCTGCCGGGTGACGAATGACATATTCGGACGGACCACCCACCGATTATAATAATAAATAATAAATATTTATACTATTATTTGTCCCGGCAAATCTTATTTTATCTATAGCAATACATGGTATCGGTACTACGTTTTGTTTCCGTTTGCAAACAACCATCTTCCCGACTATGTAATAAGGTGCACACATCCAACCAAAAGGAACAGGATGCTATTTTATATACACTTTACCTCTACGTCTAGTGTATATCTATAACAAATAATGAACGGTAGTAATTGTTTATTTACAGACATGCGAGCTTTTAAAATGAACTGAGATTCTAAAAGGAGAAATCTCTGAAATTCTTGAAATACAAAACATTTTTCCGGAAACTTCAGGAATATGAGGCATTTCAGAGTCTCGACAAAACCTTTTAGAACAGGAGGTCAAAATACGGCTGCAATTTGAAAAAAAATTGTAGACCTATAAATTCCCACTATCGTCTATCTGTCTGTTCTTTCTTAATTTTCATAGCGTAGTAAGATAGATAAAAGTCAAATCCCTGGCTATTAGACATGGAATTTTATAGCTATTCTGTAAGCCCATCTTTAATAAAAGAGCATTACAGGCCATTTTTTAATGCTAATTTTCAATCTTGAATTGATTATGGATTGCCCATCTAGTCAATGGCTGCACCTTCCCTTTTACACAGGATTATTTTTGTACTGTTCTTTACAGTAATCTTCCAAATTTCAGTGACTTCATACTTCAGATATATGGTTTATATCTTGTTCACTAAAACTTACCTCATTATTGTTTTTACACTTAAGTCCAGACATTGCATATTATGCTACATATGGTCTTTTTCACCTTCTAAACATTCAAAAACTTATATAGAAAAGAAATTAATAGTCAGAAAAATGACTTCCTGTCATTCTATTGAATTGTATATACCAAGTCTTGGATTTGCTGAGACACCCCACTGTTTATTGAAGAAATTTTATATTTCTAATAGAATNATTAACTCTTTTCGTCCTGTGGGCACTAAGAAGGCCTTTTTACTAAGTCAATTGTGGGTTCAGCCAGGTACACAATGAGTTGCCGGGTGACGAAGGACATATTCGGACTGATTACCCACCGAATATAATAATAAATAATAAGTATTTATACTGTTATTTGTCCCTGCAAATCGTATCTATAGCGATACATCATTTTTGTTTTCGTTTGCAAACAACTATCTTCCCGACTATGTAATAAGGTGCACACCTCTAACCAAAAAGATCAGAATGCACAAATAATGAACGGTAGTAATTGTTTATTTACAGATATGCGAGCTTTTAAAATGAACTGAGATTCTAAAAGGAGAGATCTCTGAAATTCTTGAAATATAAAATATTTTTCCGGAAACTTCAGGAATGTGGGGCATTTCATAGTCTCGACAAAACCTTTTAGAACAGGAGGTCAAAATACGGAACGTGTGCGCGATCCTATACAATACAGAATGTCTGGTCACTTTATATAAACATATAAACCAAAGGTGAAATAACTTCACTTCGAACCGTGATTAGAAATTATAATGCTGGCCACTCCTCTCCCAACCCATCCTCGGCATAAAATATTTGAATTGCACCCAGCTCCCAAAAAGTCTTTAACTCTTGACTGAAAAAAATAATACACCATAAGAAAAACGTTTACGATTCATGATCAAAGGAATTGATGGTAGGCCCTTCTCTTGACACGTTCGAATTCCTGTTGGCTCTGGGTCCTAGTTCGGTCTCACCAATGAGCAATTGTAGTTACGGCACTGATATGCTAGAATATAGAAACTATTAATGGCAAAATATGATTTATTTACTTTTCTTTAGTGATGTAAAGAACAAAAGAAACATTGCATTATATTGATATCAGTAAAATTGAGGTCACATTAATTAACTATTGTGTAATAGGTACAAAAATGCTGCAACAGTAAAAAACACATTTTGTCAATAAATATTAATCATACAAAATATGAAACATTTATATATGCTAATATATCAAAAGTTTTCTGATACAAATGCTATTAAAGGATGCGACTGTAGCTCCAATGAGGCTAAAGGTGGATTTGAGTTCTTGCATGTAGTGTCTACGTGAAATGCGTGCGGAAAAATAACGTTAAATTGACATAATTTTGCTGCACGTATTTTGTGTCACTCTTCTTAAGCTGGATTTAAGTCTGGCTTAAGAAGCGTGGAGGATGTTATAGCAGCAAACAATATAAATAGGGTAAAATCGGGTGAGATGCCTAGTCGGGAGAGGCTCCTAGATGTTGTTTATTCAAACAATTCTCAGTAGACCAAGTCAATAGTCACTTTAATAATGACTATTCTCAACGTTCTTACGAAATCGAATACATTTATATAATATTTCTGTTTCATGTGAAAGTAGGGTTAGTTGATTGTAGCCTCTCTGGCTTTCACTACAACACAACCAACCCCATCTTAAATTTTGATCTTGTTCGCCATGAAACAATGTCAGAATCTAAGATGGACGTTAACTGAGGTGACTGCAGGACAATTATAAGCAAATTACTGAATTATTCCTGAAATTTCAGTAGTAGTTTTACTTTCTGGCTTATTATGCATATAACAGAAATTGGAATCATGTCAAATTTGATCCTCCGGGTTTTTGCAAATCTCGACATTTTCAGACCTCCAGAACAACTCAAAAAAGAATCCTTAGACCTGTGTGTTTACGTTGTTTATGTATGTTGTTACGTCTATTTTGTTTAATATCTCAGAATGGGGTAATCATTAATTAAGAAACAAAATTTGGCATGGTAACTTGTATATAAATAACATTAATAATATTAAATTTTGGTGGTTAAAGGTCAAGGAATGGAGATAGAGAGAGGTTATGTGTCATATCTCGAGTAGGATCGAACTTAATGAAGAGTTTATTTATTAGCATTTACAATTTTTATAAAACCCATCTCCACCCTAAAAATTTAAGCTCTTTGCCATTTTATAATAATAATAATAATATAAAAATTATGTTTTAAAAAAATCTGGTCACAGACAATTTTAATTTGTTCGTAACATTCTTAGTGTTTTTTTTTGCAATGGGTTACACAGCTCTGCTAGATTTTTTTTATCATTGTATACATTGCCGTAACTAGGCAGGTTGCAACAGGTCCTGCAAGATATATGGTTTATATCTTGGTCACTAAAACTTAACTCGTTATTGTTTTTACACTTAAGTTCAGACATTGTATATTATGCTACATATGGTCATTTTCACATTCTAAACAAACATTCAAAAAGTTATATAGAAAAGAAATTAATAGTCAGAAAAATGACTTCCTGTCATTCTATTGAATTGTATATATCATGTCTTGGATTTGCTGAAACACCCCACTGTTTATTGGAAGAAATTTTATATTTCTAATAGAATTATATAATTTATAACTTTAAAAAATGAGTTATTGCAATGGTATTTTATTAGGNGGATTAAGACAAGAGTTAAGAGAGGAGAAAAGTAAAATAAGAGTTTGTGTAAGTTTTCAGTTTTTAATTCTTTTATATCTCAGTTTAAAATAGAAATTATTTTATAACACTAATTTAACTATTGATTATATATCAGGTCTGTGCATAAGTTCCTGCGTATTTTGACCTTGAGAAAAATCTTGTTTTGCTGTTAAAAATGCCGGTCTAATGTGATACATTTTACACTGAAGTGTTAAATTGGATCTCATTCATATAATACAGTTCAGAATTGGGACATTTCAGTTGTTTATTTTCGTTAAAATGGAAGTAACAGATTAATATAAGAGACATGTTTTATACTTTTTATTTTTAAATGATGAGAATGCTACAAATGCAGCCAAAAAATTAAATACTGTTCATAATCAAACTGTAATTAGTGTAAGGACTGNTATAACAATAAAAGCCAATGTAAACTATAACAAATTGTTTGCTTCACAATTTTTACTGGGTTATATTGTTTACATATTCAAATGTACCGAATAGAAACATTATTTGTTTAAAAAAACTTTATTAAATAAATTCCATACAATAAATAATCAGTATTAAATTAAAATAATAATTTATTTTATTACCTAAAATCAAAATGTCTTGATAAACTCTTCATTAGTGTACTTGGACGTAAAGTTATTACAGGCTTTGGATCAAGTTTTTATTGTGGAACAAAGCATATGGTAAATGCATTGGCAGAAGGATTAAGACAAGAGTTAAGAGAGGAGAAAAGTAAAATAAGAGTTTGTGTAAGTTTTCAGTTTTCAATTCTTTTATATCTCAGTTTAAAATAGAAATCATTTTATAACACTGATTTAACTATTGATTATATACTTTAATATATATTTTGATATGTTTATATGAATATTTTATTGTAGTGCATTAGTCCTGCTACAGTGAAAACAGAATTTATACCAAGAATGGTTGAAAATACAAAGATTGCTGAAGAGTTTTATGAAAGCACAGACCCCCTTCAACCTGAAAATGTTACAGAAGCTATTCTGAATGTACTGAAAATGCCAAAACATGTTGATGTTAACGATATTATTATACAGACCACTATACCATCAATATAATTTAAATAATTGATCTCAGATTACTTCAGTTGGTTCTAATTGATATTATGGATGTTAAATGATTCAAAGCTAACCAAATATTTCTAGTCTGTAACATTTAAAATTAAATGACTCCAATAGATTTGTAAATGAATGGATTATTTGAAATATTCTGTCCACACTTCATCTCATATCTATTCCTACAATTTTGCATCATTCCAATGTGTCAAATGATATTTTTTACTCGGTATAAGACACCATCTTCGTATCAAATACACATAACTCCCGATTATCCGTGCATCGTCAAGCTACTTTTTGTTCACTTGTTTATGGACGTAACGAATGGGAAGTTGTATACACATCATCAGTAGGCTTTCAATGTTAACTGACTTTCCAGAAACTGTCTCAAACGTCCCGGAATGATTACCTCAATTTACAAACGAATCTTTAGAAGTTTATTGATAGAATACACGAGGGAAAAAAACCTCATACAGTATATTTAAGCTGCAAATTTCAAAAAAATATCTTACTACTACTGATATTAAAATACCATAATTTGAAAAAAAAGTAAGAATTATCAGTATTTTCCGTTCGCTGATTAGCACGGATAATCGGAATGTTAATATAAGTAAACATTGTTTATTAAAATTGATATCTTTGCGTTTATGAATTAATAAAATCGACTCCAAAATAAAATAACATTTTCGGTAATTTATGGGTCAATTTTCGAGAAATAACGTAATCCTACGGTTGGGAGAGATAGAGGGTGGTCAACACCCCACGGCCCGTAGTAAGAGCGCCGGAACCAATAGGAATGCGGTAAACCAACAGTTCGGACAAACCAAAAATTAGAATTTGAGACAAAATTGTATAAAAACCCGTGTCTTGAAGAACATGGGATGGTCTGCACGATAAAATGCGTTTTTATCCATCCCGACCCCATCGATGAAACCTTGTCACCTACCGAGGTATCGCCGTCACCTTGTCATCTTTCTCGGCTACTCTCTTTTAATAACTTCAAGTGTCTATCTCGTATTGTAAGAATCTATCTGTTAATTAATTAAACGCAAATTATATGGTAAATCCGTCTCAGCGCGAGTCTCTGGGTCCAGTACCGCCTACCTCCATACGATCTTAACCTCTCGCATCAATTTCACAGAGCGAGTATTCCTGTCTTTTATTGCAAGACAGGACATCGTCTGGGGCAGTCCTTACGATAATTATTTTTATTAACTTTCACGAAAGTACTAGTCCACGAGAGACTAAAATAAAAAAAAGAACTATTTTGGGAACAAAATGTTTGACAGGCATATTACTTACTGTTACATTAAGAAAACAAATAAAAATATTATATTTTTCTCCTTTCACGATTTCGTTATTCCTTCGATAGAAAAGCTAATAATTTTTAACATAGACGATGCCGATTAGAACACGTAAAAACGAACAACAAGACCCGTTACTTGAAAAATGCATGAAGTACGAAATAACATCAAACCTGTACACAAGCAACGATGACCAAAAAGAAANAATATCTTTTTAGTTCAATAAAACAGATGAACTTGATATTAAATCTATGTACAATATAATAGATACATAACAATGCATTTTATTTACGTTTCATAAATTATGTACAAAATAAAAACAGAGAAATATTATTTAAGCGATATTACACATTCATTTTCGTTAAGTAAATAAGCTACATTACGTTTAAATTATCTAAATTTGTCTCGCATAATCTAGAATGTTCTTTCGGTACGAATTTTTCTCTCGATAGTTTTCGAATTTATATTTTTCTCCTTTCACGATACGATTTCGTTATTCCTTCGATAGAAAAGCTAATAATTTTTAACATAGACGATGCCGATTAGAACACGTAAAAACGAACAACAAGACCCGTTACTTGAAAAATGCATGAAGTACGAAATAACATCAAACCTGTACACAAGCAACGATGACCAAAAAGAAAATGGCGCCCAGTTATCATGTGACATTCTTTCGATCAATTGTCGTAAAATATAAATCTTGGGCTTTAAAAAACGTTTATTTCAAACGACACTTTTTTGTTTAATTCGCATATCGGTACGTTTTCAAGGCTGTTCGCTTCCAATACACTTTAGAAATAGTACGTGTTCCGTTGATAACTGTTGTACTTATCAGCTAGTTCGTAACCTTTTATCGTATTGGATGATAAACTTTTAGAACAGTTTGTGTTATCCTTATCACAAAAATGTTTCTAGATTAATTTGTAACTTACTTGTTAGTTTTTTATTTGAGAATAGAAAATATGGATCGTTGGATGAATAGAGTAGCTCTTGTAACGGGAGCATCTGCAGGAATCGGTACATCTATTTGTAGAGAATTGGTGAAGAATGGGATGAAAGTGGTGGGTTGTGCCAGAAATGTGGATGCCATTAAGAAAATAACCGAAGAGCTAGCAAGTTTCTCTCCAGGAGAACTATTACCTATCAAGTAAGTACGTTTATCATGTATCAAGAGTCGAATGAATGATCATAATTAAAAGTGCTCAGAGCTCTTTGTATTGGGCAATTTCAGAAGACTTAACTCAAATGATCTTGAAATGGCTTTTTAATGTAAATTTGATTATTTAGTTGTAAAATTTATAATAAAGATAAAAGTTTTCTGCATTGAGTTAACTACTTCCGAATTTCACTCCTGAACTCATCATTAACTTTAACTTTCGTAATAATTTCGTGAGTTTTAGGGTATTCACAAGAATAAAATATAAAATATTTCTAAAATATACATTGTACCCACGATTTTCGTTCATTAATTCGTTTATTTCTTTAAAAAACAACGAATTTTAGATGCGATTTAAACAACGAATCAGAGATTTTGGGTATGTTTGAAGAAATTCGGAAACGTTTCGGCCGCATTGATGTATGCATTAACAATGCTGGTTTGTCCTNTGGATGCCATTAAGAAAATAACCGAAGAGCTAGCAAGTTTCTCTCCAGGAGAACTATTACCTATCAAGTAAGTTGTTTTTAAATGTGTGGTTAAGAAGAAAAAATAATAATAACGGTTATTTATGAAAAAAATCAGTCATATTCAACACAGCTTAATTTACTAGTGCAGCTTTTGAACTATATTTTACGAATAATTAGTACAATTTTGAGTATTCACGTGTTCAGTTTTAGAGTTCGAATGACCTCCTGAAATGAATTAAAATGGAATTACGAGGCACAGCTGTATATCTCGGGATTGGATGAATCTAAAATTTTGGAACTTGGTAGGGTTATTTCTATATATGAGTCGTTGATGCTATTAAGATTTGGTAATTAATTTGGGCCGCTTTCATCTGGAATAGAACACGTTTATCATATATCAAGAGTCGAATGATCATAATTAAAAGTGTTCAGAGCTCTATGTATTGGGCAATTTCAGAAGACTTAACTTAAATGATCTTGAAATGGCTTTTTAATATAAATTTGATTATTTAGTTATAAAATTTATAATAAAGATAAAAGTTTTCTGCATTGAGTTAAGTACTTCCGAATTTCACTCCTGAACTCATCATTAACTTTAACTTTCGTAATAATTTCGTGAGTTTTAGGGTATTCACAAGAATAAAATATAAAATATTTCTAAAATATACATTGTACCCACGATTTTCGTTCATTAATTCGTTTATTTCTTTAAAAAACAACGAATTTTAGATGCGATTTAAACAACGAATCAGAGATTTTGGGTATGTTTGAAGAAATTCGGAAACGTTTCGGCCGCATTGATGTATGCATTAACAATGCTGGTTTGTCCTTCGTGTGCCCTTTAATTAATGGTTCGACCGAACAATGGAGAGAATTATTACAAGTAAGTTTTTTCTTTAACTGAAGCGAAATTAAACAAAAAAACTTCTAGTGCGATGTAACATCAATATAATCTGTGTAAAATATTAAGAAAAACGCCCCAAATGTTTCGTACGTGATAATATAAACAGGGTAGACCAAAACCTTTCTAACACCAAGATTAATGCTTTATTACAACTGAATTATGAGGGTTTAATGTTTTTTCTCAAACTCATCCTGGGTTAGCCTCAAATTATAACCCTGAGCTGGTGGTGTACTGAGTTCGAATTAATCGATTATTATACACTACTTTATTACTTTTTAATAACAAGAAATTGTCGTATAGGTTAACGTGTTAGCTTTATGCATTTGTACTCGTGAAGCAATCAAACTAATGCGAGAAAAAGGCATCGAGGACGGACAGATCATACACATTAGCAGGTAATTATGCTAATTAAGCAATTATTAATTATCTTCGTCTCATTAATATTTATATTCTCAATATCAATTCTTTTATTACATTTTCTAATTTAGTATGTCCGCATATCGAGTGCTGGCGTTACCTGGCAATAGTGTTTATGCTGGAACTAAACATATGGTGAGAGCATTAGCCGAAGGATTACGCCAAGAATTAAGAGCCGAAAAAAGCAAAATTAGAGTTTGTGTAAGTGATTTTTAACACTTTATTTTCAATATTTTCTAAAATAAAATTAAAATAGAATTCGGACGAATTAACTTAAAATATATTGCAAGCTGAGTTCTCATAACCTATAATCTAATTGAAGTAGGCCTACTTCTGTTCACCCGAAAACAAGGCTGAAGGCTAGGGACTAGGGGCTAGCTAATAGGGCTAATGTTGGCTGGAAAACAAAACTACCAATCGGAATTTTTTCAGCCTATCCAATGATTTATTCATGGATGTGGGACTTCATAAGATGTATTAAATCTTTATAACCATAAAGATTTAATACATCTTATGAAGTCCCACATCCATGAATAAATCATTGGATAGGCTGAAAAAATTCCGATTGGTAGTTTTGTTTTCCAGCCAACATTAGCCCTATTAGCTAGCCCCTAGTCCCTAGTCCAAGTATAAAAATTAAATAACAATAGGCTAAGTTTACGTGATGAAAGAAGAAGCATATACTGTATTTATATACTGCATATGGAAACTGAATGAGGACTTAGCTTAGTCGCTAAGACGTAATATATGCCGCCGTAGCTACGGCTCCGTCTCGATGGGATAATGACGAATGAACTAAGAATTTTCCCGAGTTTCTGTGCATATTATACGCAACGGAAGTTAACAGTGACGATCACGTCAAACGATACCTAAATGGACAAGTGAAAAGTCAGAATTTCGGTATTTGAATATATTGCTGTAGGTTGGAAAGAATGAATATTTTCATAAATTATCAGAAAGCCATGACTACAAACATGGAGATTTTCTGCATGTTATTTAACAGCTGCAAACGTGGAATTGTATTCAGAACTCAGACAATTTTGGAAACTATTGTAGATCCATAAATGATAGGTTCTTACGAGCGAAAGTCCGATTAATCTCACTATTGTATCGGTATCGGTCATGATCTAAATCACTCTACAGGATTTCACTTTCAATATTCTTAAAATTGATTTACTTTTATTTCGTTTCAGTGTATCAGCCCGGGTATGGTAGAAACGGAATTTTGGGGAAGGATGATTCAAAATCCAGAACTCGGTAAAGAAAAATACAAAGAACTAAAGTGCCTTCAAGCCGACGACGTAGCCAAGACAGTTTTACAAGTGTTAGAAATGCCCGAACACGTGGATATCAACGACATACTTGTTAGACCCACTGAACAGCAGTCGTAACAAAAATTTTGGTTTATCAATATGTAATTGCTTAAATTGAATCATACCGAATATGCAAATAATTTCGTATATTTAAAAATTGTACTTGGTACTAACACTTCTCTTAATTTTTCCAATTGGACTTTTAATAAATAAAGAATACTGTACTTTCAGAAAAGATTAATTCATTAAATTATAAAAATACTAAATCATTGAAAAATTAGAGGAATTTACAATAAAGTATTTACTGTAAAATCAGCTTTCCAATCACGAGCAGCGCGCAGTTCTTGAAATCTCAATCGGTAACCGACTTTTGGCATAGGATGGCCAAAAGTCAGTTACCGACTGATGAATTTGCGTTTACGAAGTTTTTCCTGGCACAATATTCTCAATTTTCTGCGTAAAGATAATCGAATTGTCTTTACGTAACTAAATTTACGGAATGTGGAAAACGCGAGTTCATCGGGAAAAATGATGGGACTAGTGTCTTTTTCTATACCCACAGAACCCAGGCATGAAAAAATCCTGTCCGCCCACAGCATGAAAATAATTTATCATCGCGCCGTGAGAGTTTTTCGATTAACGCGACTACATAACTTCCTTATCAAATTATCTGGTTAACACGTTACTAAGGTTAATCTGATACTTGTATAATAAGCAACATGGATCGCTGGAGAGGTAGAATCGCTCTAGTAACGGGTGCTTCGGCGGGAATAGGAGTTTCTCTATGTAAAGAATTGGTAAAAAATGGGATGATAGTCATCGGATGTGCCAGAAATGTGGATGCTATCAAGAAACTAGCCGAAGAATTAAAAGATCTAGGCCATCTGTACCCAATCAGGTAAATTTGCAAGGCAATTTTTTGAGATTTAAGAATTGGCTCTAATGAAATTGTCATTGTAGATGCGATCTAAACAACGAATCGGAAATTTTGAAGATGTTTGAAGAGATTCGTGATAGATACGATCGTATCGATGTTTGCATAAACAATGCTGGCTTGTGTAACATCAGCCCTTTGATTAATGGTGATACAGAGATTTGGAGAAATATGCTTCAAGTAAGTAATCTAGAATTAAGGATTATATTAAGTCTAAGATTCATACATAGCACGTTACACGGATATGATCAGCCTCGTCCATCAGATGAATTAACATTACAATTGTCGAATGATGCACGGGAGATCAATCCTTACCCAGAGAGAAATTTAAGTTATATTCTACCATTTCAGAAAGCTTTGTGCACAATCTACATAATTCCAAATGTAGAATTATTTCCTGATTATAATAATTTTAGAACAGAAAAACTTGGTTCTTATAATAGAAAAGATTAATGCTTTATAAATCTGTGTGTTTAGGTTAATGTACTGGCATTATGCATCTGTACACGCGAAGCAATAAAATTGATGCAAGAAAAGAACATAAGAGATGGACAGATTATACATATTGGCAGGTAATTATATAAAATAAATTTAACTTAAGAATTATTAGAAATATAGGATTTAATATAATAGAAAAATGGATTCAGCTAAGAATAAATCCATTTAAAAAACGAAAAATACTAAATTAAAATAAAGGAAATGAGCATGTTTCATGATGCTGATTATGATTTAAGTCAATGAAATTATAAGGTTTGCTGATTCACTTAAATCAGTTTAAAATGAAACAAGTCTCAAGAGATGTAACTAAATATTAATAAGGATACATGATTTAGATTAAAATAATTCTAGAACAATTTGATGAGTGCATATTTAATGTTTTGCTTGTCAAATAATGATAATGCAATGTTACAAACTTGTTATATTTATTGTTACATCTTAATCAGCTAATATAGTTTGCCATATAAAATTATGTTCATTTTTATAATAAAGGAACAAAATAAATACACTTTATTACAGAAATTCCTCATTCTAAGAATCCTAGAAATGTTTGTTTGCTAAAAGTACAAACTCAGCAGTTTTTCCTCAAATTCTTACAAAGTTAAACTTATTTCATTTTGTACAACTATGTTGTTGTGATATATATATTAATAATTATTATGCAGTAGTAATCTGAATCTTAAATACATGTTAAATATAGGGCCTAACAGAAGTATTACGCATGCAGACAATTGTCTGAGCCAAAATATATCAATGAAATCAAGATGACAAAGATTTTCTACCATGAATCAAAAGAAACTGCGATTTACATCACTTTTGGGTCAATTTCTTCATATAAGAGGCTAATATTCTTAAGGCTCCTCTATGTTTAGACCTCAGGCAAATGGCCTATCTGGTTTCCTTTATGTAGGCCAGGAAAAGTAATTCAAAATTGTGAATACAGCATAGTTTTTTGTTTTTGAAGATAAAGTATGGCTAAGTAATGAATTATATATGACAATTTGCAAATTTTTTTCCAAATTAGCATCTTAGGACATAAAGTATATTCGTCGGGTGGATCAAGTTTTTATAGTGGAACAAAGTACATGGTAAGAGCTCTTGTAGAAGGATTGCGACAGGAATTAAGACAGGAGAAAAGTGAAATAAGAATTTGTGTAAGTTGGATTATTTATTTATTTGATTTTTGTACAGAAATACGTCTCTATTCAGAATATTTGATTTGTTTCAGTCCATCAGTCCAGGTTTGGTAGATACAGAATTTATGGAAAGGATGCTTCAGAATAAAGAAATGGCTAAAACTATAAAGGGAAGCATGGCAACTCTTAAAGCTGACGATATAACAAATGCCGTTATTAATGTATTAAAAATGCCCAAACATGTTGACATTAACGACATTCTGGTTCGTCCGACGGAGCAAATGTTTTAAAGAATGAAAAGTCATTCTATCATTAATCATCACTGTAATCAAACATTATGGCTAAGATGTATTGTGTTTAGCCAAAAACTTAAGACACCAATTAAGTTTCAATATATTGTTCTGATATGTATTTGTGAAATGATTATGTTGAAATTAAGAATTAAATGTTATTTGTGGATTCCACTATCGGCTCTAAGCAAGCAAGCAAGCAAACTATTGTGATGATCCCTTTCATTTGAAAAGATTTAATCATTGGATCACTTACTTATCTGCTTGTCACCTAGATGCACCCAGAGCTTCAAGTTTGTTACAGATTGTACTTTTAATAGTACAATTAAAAAAGAAACAGATAACAACACAGTAGAAGAAAAGTACATAAATAGATAAAACTAAATATGGCATTTCATACAATCATAATAAGAAATTTATACCCTTTTTTATTCTATAAGTGCAGTATAGCGCAATAACGATCACTTGGCACAATTCACTCCTTTATTTCAATTCTGTTGAGCTTATTGCGTTATTGCGCTATATTGCACATATAGAACAAATATAATAGATACCACACGGTTTCAAAACATGGAAGAAAAATTTATACCTCTTCAAGGTATAATTTTCTAATTATGATTGTATAAAGCTGTAAAGTGAGGTTGTAAAATAGGTTCCTACTATATTAGTTTTTTTACATATTACTCATTTTAATTCAAAAGAATCCTCATCCTGTCATCTTAAATGTTTTAAATAGGTTCTAATTACAGTATATTAATTTAAGCAAACTTGAAAGTATCATTAATGACTGCTTCATCTTGACAAAAATTTAAAGAAAATTTGATCTAATATTAAACTTTATTAATGACTAAATTTTGAAATTTCTTGTTACTAGAGTTAAATTTTAAAAATATTGATGCATTTTATTCTTAAAACTGATTTTTATAGATTAGTAGTAATTCAAACTAAGCACTTATTCTAGAGAAATGCATCAATATAAAAGATGAAAACAATTATATTAAATAAATAGAACTAACACCCTAAAAATTATATAAAAACTTAAGAGCATTTTTTAAAACAATATTAAATAATGAATTTCAGCCATCTCTTAAAAATGCAGATAAACTATTAACACAGAAATTATGTAAAAACTTATGATTATTTTCATACAAACCTGAATAATTAATGTATAGATGTATCAAATGAGCCAAGAAACATATCAGAATATTTCTTGAAATTATAATTTTTGATATTTTTCTTCATATGAAATTTATTTAGGCAAAACAAACAATTTATATACAGTCTAAAATTCATAACCAAAGAGATTTCTGAAGAAATAACACGTGAATCTTTGGTTTTTCATTTTACAGTATCTCAAGAAACATTTACCATTATGATAAATCAGTCTGTCACGACATAACAGAAACTATACAATTTTCACACTAACTGTACTTGAGCTGCTTGCAAATATCGCTGGAGATGAGCAATGGCTTCCTCACCAATTCCAGAAGATATTAATGGCATCAACTGAAAAACAGGTAGTTATTTTAAAATAATAAAAAAAAACTTGTTTGATATCAAGAAAAAAGCAATTTAGTACACACTTTTCCTGGATGATTGACCGAGAGTTTGTACAGACTCTGTGCCAGATTTATCCGCGCATCCGGAATGGCACCATTGAAAGGATCACATTCCTTCTTTCCTGCAAATACCAACTGAGAATAGGATATCTGATAGCTGGGTGTGTCTTCAATTTCAATAAAATGTTCATCTTCGGGTATTGTGTCATCTTCAGGTAATTCAAATAATTCAATCAGAGATTGTAACAAGGGTGTCCTACAACAACAAAACAAAACATTTGTAATACTTTTCTAAAATTAAAATTTTTAAACACACATTAAAACAAAATTATTATATTAATTATACACTGAAATAGAACATTAGTAACATCTAAAAGCAGTCAGGGCTTTCCTTTTTCCAGACCAGCAGCTGAGGAACTTGTCAGCAAAATGACAAGTTAATTTTAAATCATTGCATCTGCCAGCTGCTAAATATTCATTGCCAGAGTCCGCATAACAAATCTCACGTACCAAAATGTCTCAGATCTGATCTATACAATTGGTATCAGGTAAGTTACACAGTTGTAAATGATGATGAAAGGGCTGTTGCATTCTTCAAAACAGTCTGACATCACCTAAACTGATAACATGTCCATGTGCACTGTCCTACTGAAAATAGTATTCCCACTTAAACTAGTAGTTGGAATCTTACAACTTGTGTGTTAAACCTATAACTATATATAAATACTAAATTTAAATATATAATATATAGCATCCACCCGCTAATACAACATTTCTAAAATATATCAAGATATTTTAGAAATGGCATAAAAAATTTGTTAATTTTAGCTGGATTACAGGTTGGTGCTTTCATTATACCATTTCTAGGGCCCACGATAGGATATTACGATTTATTCCAAACTCTGCCTGTCTGCATAATGAAGCCAAAATCTGAATTCATTGATCCAATCATTTTTTCTTTAAGTCCCAGTCCATCATGACAGAATATTAGTGTGGGCATTCTTCAGAAGTGCCTGCTATTGAAACCCAACTAATTTTATATCCATTGCATAGTCCACTGTAATAGGAATTGTGAGATTGCTATGTTGTATTGAGAGGTCAGTCAAATCACTGCAATACAGTTTGGTTACAAGCTGAAACATCTGTCATTCAACTCGCATCAACTTTCCATGACTGTCTTTGTCTTTCCTTCTGGCAGATAGTTCTTCTTGTGTTTACCTGTCATTAAATACTCTAGACATTGCACTTGAAGAGCAAGTAAGTAAGGCTACTCTTCTGAGAAAGTGCCCTTGTTCTACTTTACTGGAAATGAGTAGAAGGCCAACCTTACAGCATAGCCTTTGAAAAGAGAATTTTAAGGAAGTGAGGAGGAAGAAAAGAAAAGACTAATAGGAAAGTGTGAACATGAGACCTCAGAGCACCCAGTCTGTTCCATTAGAATTGAAATTAACAAAATGTACAAAACATGGGTTTGCTGTTTTACAAACAGTGAATTTAAAGGAATTACAGAAAGGTGTGGATGCCCAAGAGGCTGCTCCAGTGAGACAGGTGCGGCAATATACAAATAGCAGAAACACACATAGCCAGACACCTGGTGGTGACAATTGGGCTGCCAAGTAACAAACAAACCTGAAACAAAATTTACATGAAAATTAAAAAAACAAAAGAAAATGATACAAAAATAAGTGGACTCATGAACAGCTTACACTTAGACCCAATGGGTTAACATAAGGTGGGCCTGCAGATGACAGCAACCTGGAAGGGCAAGCACTTAGCTATCGGGAACAGCCAAAACAAACAAACTCATACGTACAAAAGATGGGTGGGAGAACACAATCCCAACCTTGGGCCCATAAAACAGCTTATACTTAGACCTGATGGGTAAACAAACAGTGAGTCCCAGATGAAAATAACATGAAAGGCCACCCCTGGGGCCTGCCCAAATACAAAGAAAACCCAAACAAATAAAACAGAACAACATATAACTATTAGATAGAAAACTCCCTTAACAGCCTCTTAGCCAAGGTACATAGGGAATGTATTGTGCAAAGAGTAGACCAATACTTAGAAAGATGGGGCCATGACCCCAATGTCTATGAGAAAGCTCCTCAGAGCACTATAAGTCTTTTTGTTAAGAAAAAAGTCTTTAACAGCACAGGGCCAGTGTGGTCCATGATGGTATATGGAGTCGATGTGGGTTTTCCACTGTGAGGTGTACTTGCTGAACATCATCTTCTTCCCCAAGTGGCAGTCACACTATTTCCTTTTTGAAGGAATCTCTTTAAGTAGGAATGGAAGTTCCCATGAACAGTCAATATTTGGGTTATATGAGAGTCTGGAACAAAGACCACTTTTTGCCTGTTCTTGATAATTGAAAGAAATTCATGTGTTGATCTTTTCGTGTTTTCATTATCCCATCTAAGTTGCCAGCTTTCCGTGGTGTGGTTCTTCAATTCAATATGAAGCCAGCAGCTAGGGAGTGCCCCAAAGGCTGCTTCTCTCTGCAACTGAGTGGCCTTCCTTGCAAGGAGGTCAGCCCTCTCATCATTCTACACACAAACTCTCAAATCATGTTGTTGTCCTTCTGTTGCCAGGAATTACACTGATCTTCAATGGCATGCCTCTACTACATGTAGTGTATGCTGAGTCCAACACAAATAACCACAGGTATCATTTCAACTTTCCAGATCTGTTGCTAATATTTTGCTTCTTCAGTATATTAAGATATTTTAAAGAGAAATGGTAAAATGTTTTAACAGAATTCAGAATCCAAACATTATTTTGAATGTCCATTTATAAGTAGAAGTTATCTTGATCTTCTAAGATAATGGCCATATCAAAATTCATTAAAATATTACAATGTACTTGTAGAGATAGTTATTTAAGATGAAATAGTTACACAAAAAGTATTAATTAAATAATGCAGTCACATTTTATGGAATCACAAAAGAAACCTGTAATACCTAATTTTCTGCCAAAAGCGATATGACAATTCTGATAATGGTCACATTAAAAGAAACATCTGTCATCAATTTTAATGTATAATTATATAAAAGTGTAAATAAAAGCAGGTAACATTTAAAAATTATTAGTATTAGAAAAAAGTAACTTATGTTTGAAATTCTTCATATCACATTTATCTTACCAGTAATTAGCATATTCTCCCACTATCATTGCTGGAGTTTCTGTTAATAGTTTTGTGATTCCAATGGCACAAATCTTTCGCTCCAAAGAACCAGAGACTTTCTGTACCTCAGGAATAACGACCCTATCCAACACCATCGCAAACATTCTAAAACAACAGATGACAATTTAGTTTAGAATGATAATTAATTATTCTAATTATTTTTTTTTTAAATGTGTACGTACTTGGGTTGAAACTCGTCGACCATGCTTATGAACGTACTTGGACCATATTTATAAATAAAGAAAAAGAAAAACACCAGAAGACCTAAAAAAAAAATTAAAATTCTATCATAAAGAAAAAATTAAAACTAAAATTACATTAAAAACCTAGAATTTTCTGATATTAATTCATATTATTCATAATAATGAATCTCAACAATCTTGAAATTGATTTCACTACAGTTAAATTCCTTTATTTCTAATGTTAATAAATTACAAATTTTCTTAAACNTTGTTTGTCTTGTTTTGGCTCATAGAATCCTCGAAGTCGGAAATAGAAAGAGTATAATTTTACTTGTTTTTTAACTAAAAATTTTTTATTTTTAGTGTATTAAGCTGAATATTAATTAAAATAATGATATATGGCTCTTTTTTATTATCCTATTGCTAAACCTTTTACAGATAATATATTTCAATCATTATTCCAAGTTGATCCCTTACATATATAAAACATTTCTAATCATCCCTGAAACTATAAGAATCATTCCTTTGAAAAACTATTTCTTATTGCCATTTTCTTTCTTTTTGACGTTTTCAGTTTGCATATTATGAACACAATTATTTATACTATAAATTATTATTAATTTGCCACATTACCTAGGCAGTATACATTAAAAAGTTTCCAAGAAAAACATTGGTTAACCATAAATTTTGTGTGACATCTTTCACAAGAATAATACCAATTTTTTTTTAACAATGAACACTCAGTATAACTGAAGCTTGGTGAAAATTTGCATTCATTTTTAATATATCTTATTTTATATTCGCAAAGCCATTTCTTTAGTAAAAAGGTAAATATGTTCAACAAAATTAAAAAGTATCAGCTTCAATTGGAAGAAAATATTAATCTTTTTATACAGTATGGCAGTAAAAACCATTATAAAAAAGATAATTCTATTAATAATATTGATAAAAATTAGAGGGTAGAATCCTTGAAAAATTCTTTTTTTATATATTACTCATTTAAAAAGTAAAATTACTTCCCACAATTTAATAAAATGTTGAAATTCATAAATCTTATAAAAATTTAAATAATCACCTACTCAGAATGAAACAAAAGACTAAATAGATGTGATATAATTAGTTAAAATGTAAGATTTTTATATAAATTATGCTACAATATTAAATAAGATTTTGATTATTAAAATACTTACTTTGCTAACAAGAGTTAATTTTGTAGTCAATTTGGGTAAAAGAATAGGTAGGAAAGGAATAATTGCTTCTTGAAGTAATGAAAATGTTCGCATGATAGCTGAAACAATAATTTCATCATAAAATTCTTAAGTCAACATTAATCTAATCTAAAAAGTAATTTTAAATTTAATATAGCATTAAATAATTTTTTGACATACTATAAATATATAATTCGACTGCTAATTCCATTTATTGTATATGTGTTTACAAAAGTATGACAACATTAAATTTCTGAAGTTATAGGAGAATGAAGAATTTATCTACTCAAAATATTACTTTTTTTTCTTTTTGTTTTGAACTACTTTGATAAGGTCATTATACATATATATATTTGTAGAATGATCTGATTCTACAAAAAAATTTCTATGACTTTCCAGCATTAGCAGCAATATAGTTATGTATAACCTATTGCAGTTTATATGGTAACGTGTGCTTCAACATATGACCTGTTGCCAAAACACAGACATTTCATTGATTTTTTAAATTTTATCTCTGGTTCTTTCCACATTGAGAGCATGAAAAGGATCTTTTTCAGGTACATCTTGAGTTATGCCGAGCCCAAAATAAGGAGCAAGTAGCAAGGGATAAGGCAGACCAACTCCAGAAAGTTCCTGAAAACTTTTCAACCACCCAGATTTGATACCAGGTTCCCAAAGTAGTATGTTAACACCTTAAAATCCTCACAATTATAAGGCCTATTTTATCAATTTAAAAACAGAGAAGATATCAAAACGTTTAGGAAACAACAAATTGTAATAATTATCATAATTTTAACTGATTACAAGTAACTGCAAAGAATTTGATAATCTGTAATATTCTCATTAACTTTTGCATACAGAATGACAAACTTCAACATGTATCAATAATAATTCCAACTCAAAAGTAACTTCTTACGTATGTATAAAGATTCATATGAAGTTGACATTTATCCTCTTCACTAATATGTTTTCAAATGCCAATGTAACACAAGGTATGTTTGAATCATAGTGCTCCTATTGAGTTTTAAGGCTTAAAAATTAGAACTTTCCATGGAAAAAATTGGGGAAAGACCAATTTACAAAAAGTTAAAACAATCACTGAAAGGATAATGCTGAATAAAGTATTAAGTCAAAAGCAGTCTACAGTATATTTATTGGGTTGTTCGGAAAGTAATTTCGTTTTTTTTTCCGTAAAAAAAACACAATATTTTTATAATAAATAAATATTTTATTGAATTATATATTAACCAATTTGGTCAAATACCTGTTGTCATCGTTTCTGGTAGTAGCATGCATGATTTCACATTCATAAAAGTTTTGATCGTTGCTTACAAAAAACTGACCCAAGTGATTTTTGACATTGTCATTTCAAGTAAATGTCTTACAGTTAAAAAAATTTGTATAGACTGGAACAAGTAATAATCTGAGTGTGCTCGATCTGGTGAATATGGTTGATGTGATAGCACGTCCCATCTAAGTTATAACAGTTTCTGATGAGTTACCAAACTTGCGTGAAATTTGACATTATCATGGTAAAACACTACACCTGTTTTGTTGATCAATTCTGGCCGCCTTTTCTGTTTGATGATATTACTCAATTTGTTTACTCGATGGCAGTACACTTTCGAATCAATTGTTAAATTGTCTGGTAAAAGTTCCAAAAAAAAATTTCCTTANTAAAATAACATACAAATACTACTGAATACAAAGTTTTCATGTTTCTTTCAGTGGCCGTTGTTGAGAGGTCCAAGAGTATATTATTTTTAAAAAGTTTTAAATTATAAAAATACTAAATCATTGAAAAATTAGAGGAATTTACAATAAAGTATTTACTGTAAAATCAGCTTTCCAATCACGAGCAGCGCGCAGTTCTTGAAATCTCAATCGGTAACCGACTTTTGGCATAGGATGGCCAAAAGTCAGTTACCGACTGATGCATTTGCATTTATGAAGTTTTTTCCTGGCACAATATTCTCGATTTTCTGCGTAAAGATAATCGAATTGTCTTTACGTAACTAAATTTACGGAATGTGGAAAACGCGAGTTCATCGGGAAAAATGATGGGACTAGTGTCTTTTTCTATACCCACAGAACCCAGGCATGAAAAAATCCTGTCCGCCCACAGCATGAAAATAATTTATCATCGCGCCGTGAGAGTTTTTCGATTAACGCGACTACATAACTTCCTTATCAAATTATCTGGTTAACACGTTACTAAGGTTAATCTGATACTTGTATAATAAGCAACATGGATCGCTGGAGAGGTAGAATCGCTCTAGTAACGGGTGCTTCGGCGGGAATAGGAGTTTCTCTATGTAAAGAATTGGTAAAAAATGGGATGATAGTCATCGGATGTGCCAGAAATGTGGATGCTATCAAGAAACTAGCCGAAGAATTAAAAGATCTAGGCCATCTGTACCCAATCAGGTAAATTTGCAAGGCAATTTTTTGAGATTTAAGAATTGGCTCTAATGAAATTGTCATTGTAGATGCGATCTAAACAACGAATCGGAAATTTTGAAGATGTTTGAAGAGATTCGTGATAGATACGATCGTATCGATGTTTGCATAAACAATGCTGGCTTGTGTAACATCAGCCCTTTGATTAATGGTGATACAGAGATTTGGAGAAATATGCTTCAAGTAAGTAATCTAGAATTAAGGATTATATTAAGTCTAAGATTCATACATAGCACGTTACACGGATATGATCAGCCTCGTCCATCAGATGAATTAACATTACAATTGTCGAATGATGCACGGGAGATCAATCCTTACCCAGAGAGAAATTTAAGTTATATTCTACCATTTCAGAAAGCTTTGTGCACAATCTACATAATTCCAAATGTAGAATTATTTCCTGATTATAATAATTTTAGAACAGAAAAACTTGGTTCTTATAATAGAAAAGATTAATGCTTTATAAATCTGTGTGTTTAGGTTAATGTACTGGCATTATGCATCTGTACACGCGAAGCAATAAAATTGATGCAAGAAAAGAACATAAGAGATGGACAGATTATACATATTGGCAGGTAATTATATAAAATAAATTTAACTTAAGAATTATTAGAAATATAGGATTTAATATAATAGAAAAATGGATTCAGCTAAGAATAAATCCATTTAAAAAACGAAAAATACTAAATTAAAATAAAGGAAATGAGCATGTTTCATGATGCTGATTATGATTTAAGTCAATGAAATTATAAGGTTTGCTGATTCACTTAAATCAGTTTAAAATGAAACAAGTCTCAAGAGATGTAACTAAATATTAATAAGGATACATGATTTAGATTAAAATAATTCTAGAACAATTTGATGAGTGCATATTTAATGTTTTGCTTGTCAAATAATGATAATGCAATGTTACAAACTTGTTATATTTATTGTTACATCTTAATCAGCTAATATAGTTTGCCATATAAAATTATGTTCATTTTTATAATAAAGGAACAAAATAAATACACTTTATTACAGAAATTCCTCATTCTAAGAATCCTAGAAATGTTTGTTTGCTAAAAGTACAAACTCAGCAGTTTTTCCTCAAATTCTTACAAAGTTAAACTTATTTCATTTTGTACAACTATGTTGTTGTGATATATATATTAATAATTATTATGCAGTAGTAATCTGAATCTTAAATACATGTTAAATATAGGGCCTAACAGAAGTATTACGCATGCAGACAATTGTCTGAGCCAAAATATATCAATGAAATCAAGATGACAAAGATTTTCTACCATGAATCAAAAGAAACTGCGATTTACATCACTTTTGGGTCAATTTCTTCATATAAGAGGCTAATATTCTTAAGGCTCCTCTATGTTTAGACCTCAGGCAAATGGCCTATCTGGTTTCCTTTATGTAGGCCAGGAAAAGTAATTCAAAATTGTGAATACAGCATAGTTTTTTGTTTTTGAAGATAAAGTATGGCTAAGTAATGAATTATATATGACAATTTGCAAATTTTTTTCCAAATTAGCATCTTAGGACATAAAGTATATTCGTCGGGTGGATCAAGTTTTTATAGTGGAACAAAGTACATGGTAAGAGCTCTTGTAGAAGGATTGCGACAGGAATTAAGACAGGAGAAAAGTGAAATAAGAATTTGTGTAAGTTGGATTATTTATTTATTTGATTTTTGTACAGAAATACGTCTCTATTCAGAATATTTGATTTGTTTCAGTCCATCAGTCCAGGTTTGGTAGATACAGAATTTATGGAAAGGATGCTTCAGAATAAAGAAATGGCTAAAACTATAAAGGGAAGCATGGCAACTCTTAAAGCTGACGATATAACAAATGCCGTTATTAATGTATTAAAAATGCCCAAACATGTTGACATTAACGACATTCTGGTTCGTCCGACGGAGCAAATGTTTTAAAGAATGAAAAGTCATTCTATCATTAATCATCACTGTAATCAAACATTATGGCTAAGATGTATTGTGTTTAGCCAAAAACTTAAGACACCAATTAAGTTTCAATATATTGTTCTGATATGTATTTGTGAAATGATTATGTTGAAATTAAGAATTAAATGTTATTTGTGGATTCCACTATCGGCTCTAAGCAAGCAAGCAAGCAAACTATTGTGATGATCCCTTTCATTTGAAAAGATTTAATCATTGGATCACTTACTTATCTGCTTGTCACCTAGATGCACCCAGAGCTTCAAGTTTGTTACAGATTGTACTTTTAATAGTACAATTAAAAAAGAAACAGATAACAACACAGTAGAAGAAAAGTACATAAATAGATAAAACTAAATATGGCATTTCATACAATCATAATAAGAAATTTATACCCTTTTTTATTCTATAAGTGCAGTATAGCGCAATAACGATCACTTGGCACAATTCACTCCTTTATTTCAATTCTGTTGAGCTTATTGCGTTATTGCGCTATATTGCACATATAGAACAAATATAATAGATACCACACGGTTTCAAAACATGGAAGAAAAATTTATACCTCTTCAAGGTATAATTTTCTAATTATGATTGTATAAAGCTGTAAAGTGAGGTTGTAAAATAGGTTCCTACTATATTAGTTTTTTTACATATTACTCATTTTAATTCAAAAGAATCCTCATCCTGTCATCTTAAATGTTTTAAATAGGTTCTAATTACAGTATATTAATTTAAGCAAACTTGAAAGTATCATTAATGACTGCTTCATCTTGACAAAAATTTAAAGAAAATTTGATCTAATATTAAACTTTATTAATGACTAAATTTTGAAATTTCTTGTTACTAGAGTTAAATTTTAAAAATATTGATGCATTTTATTCTTAAAACTGATTTTTATAGATTAGTAGTAATTCAAACTAAGCACTTATTCTAGAGAAATGCATCAATATAAAAGATGAAAACAATTATATTAAATAAATAGAACTAACACCCTAAAAATTATATAAAAACTTAAGAGCATTTTTTAAAACAATATTAAATAATGAATTTCAGCCATCTCTTAAAAATGCAGATAAACTATTAACACAGAAATGATGTAAAAACTTATGATTATTTTCATACAAACCTGAATAATTAATGTATAGATGTATCAAATGAGCCAAGAAACATATCAGAATATTTCTTGAAATTATAATTTTTGATATTTTTCTTCATATGAAATTTATTTAGGCAAAACAAACAATTTATATACAGTCTAAAATTCATAACCAAAGAGATTTCTGAAGAAATAACACGTGAATCTTTGGTTTTTCATTTTACAGTATCTCAAGAAACATTTACCATTATGATAAATCAGTCTGTCACGACATAACAGAAACTATACAATTTTCACACTAACTGTACTTGAGCTGCTTGCAAATATCGCTGGAGATGAGCAATGGCTTCCTCACCAATTCCAGAAGATATTAATGGCATCAACTGAAAAACAGGTAGTTATTTTAAAATAATAAAAAAAAAACTTGTTTGATATCAAGAAAAAAGCAATTTAGTACACACTTTTCCTGGATGATTGACCGAGAGTTTGTACAGACTCTGTGCCAGATTTATCCGCGCATCCGGAATGGCACCATTGAAAGGATCACATTCCTTCTTTCCTGCAAATACCAACTGAGAATAGGATATCTGATAGCTGGGTGTGTCTTCAATTTCAATAAAATGTTCATCTTCGGGTATTGTGTCATCTTCAGGTAATTCAAATAATTCAATCAGAGATTGTAACAAGGGTGTCCTACAACAACAAAACAAAACATTTGTAATACTTTTCTAAAATTAAAATTTTTAAACACACATTAAAACAAAATTATTATATTAATTATACACTGAAATAGAACATTAGTAACATCTAAAAGCAGTCAGGGCTTTCCTTTTTCCAGACCAGCAGCTGAGGAACTTGTCAGCAAAATGACAAGTTAATTTTAAATCATTGCATCTGCCAGCTGCTAAATATTCATTGCCAGAGTCCGCATAACAAATCTCACGTACCAAAATGTCTCAGATCTGATCTATACAATTGGTATCAGGTAAGTTACACAGTTGTAAATGATGATGAAAGGGCTGTTGCATTCTTCAAAACAGTCTGACATCACCTAAACTGATAACATGTCCATGTGCACTGTCCTACTGAAAATAGTATTCCCACTTAAACTAGTAGTTGGAATCTTACAACTTGTGTGTTAAACCTATAACTATATATAAATACTAAATTTAAATATATAATATATAGCATCCACCCGCTAATACAACATTTCTAAAATATATCAAGATATTTTAGAAATGGCATAAAAAATTTGTTAATTTTAGCTGGATTACAGGTTGGTGCTTTCATTATACCATTTCTAGGGCCCACGATAGGATATTACGATTTATTCCAAACTCTGCCTGTCTGCATAATGAAGCCAAAATCTGAATTCATTGATCCAATCATTTTTTCTTTAAGTCCCAGTCCATCATGACAGAATATTAGTGTGGGCATTCTTCAGAAGTGCCTGCTATTGAAACCCAACTAATTTTATATCCATTGCATAGTCCACTGTAATAGGAATTGTGAGATTGCTATGTTGTATTGAGAGGTCAGTCAAATCACTGCAATACAGTTTGGTTACAAGCTGAAACATCTGTCATTCAACTCGCATCAACTTTCCATGACTGTCTTTGTCTTTCCTTCTGGCAGATAGTTCTTCTTGTGTTTACCTGTCATTAAATACTCTAGACATTGCACTTGAAGAGCAAGTAAGTAAGGCTACTCTTCTGAGAAAGTGCCCTTGTTCTACTTTACTGGAAATGAGTAGAAGGCCAACCTTACAGCATAGCCTTTGAAAAGAGAATTTTAAGGAAGTGAGGAGGAAGAAAAGAAAAGACTAATAGGAAAGTGTGAACATGAGACCTCAGAGCACCCAGTCTGTTCCATTAGAATTGAAATTAACAAAATGTACAAAACATGGGTTTGCTGTTTTACAAACAGTGAATTTAAAGGAATTACAGAAAGGTGTGGATGCCCAAGAGGCTGCTCCAGTGAGACAGGTGCGGCAATATACAAATAGCAGCAACACACATAGCCAGACACCTGGTGGTGACAATTGGGCTGCCAAGTAACAAACAAACCTGAAACAAAATTTACATGAAAATTAAAAAAACAAAAGAAAATGATACAAAAATAAGTGGACTCATGAACAGCTTACACTTAGACCCAATGGGTTAACATAAGGTGGGCCTGCAGATGACAGCAACCTGGAAGGGCAAGCACTTAGCTATCGGGAACAGCCAAAACAAACAAACTCATACGTACAAAAGATGGGTGGGAGAACACAATCCCAACCTTGGGCCCATAAAACAGCTTATACTTAGACCTGATGGGTAAACAAACAGTGAGTCCCAGATGAAAATAACATGAAAGGCCACCCCTGGGGCCTGCCCAAATACAAAGAAAACCCAAACAAATAAAACAGAACAACATATAACTATTAGATAGAAAACTCCCTTAACAGCCTCTTAGCCAAGGTACATAGGGAATGTATTGTGCAAAGAGTAGACCAATACTTAGAAAGATGGGGCCATGACCCCAATGTCTATGAGAAAGCTCCTCAGAGCACTATAAGTCTTTTTGTTAAGAAAAAAGTCTTTAACAGCACAGGGCCAGTGTGGTCCATGATGGTATATGGAGTCGATGTGGGTTTTCCACTGTGAGGTGTACTTGCTGAACATCATCTTCTTCCCCAAGTGGCAGTCACACTATTTCCTTTTTGAAGGAATCTCTTTAAGTAGGAATGGAAGTTCCCATGAACAGTCAATATTTGGGTTATATGAGAGTCTGGAACAAAGACCACTTTTTGCCTGTTCTTGATAATTGAAAGAAATTCATGTGTTGATCTTTTCGTGTTTTCATTATCCCATCTAAGTTGCCAGCTTTCCGTGGTGTGGTTCTTCAATTCAATATGAAGCCAGCAGCTAGGGAGTGCCCCAAAGGCTGCTTCTCTCTGCAACTGAGTGGCCTTCCTTGCAAGGAGGTCAGCCCTCTCATCATTCTACACACAAACTCTCAAATCATGTTGTTGTCCTTCTGTTGCCAGGAATTACACTGATCTTCAATGGCATGCCTCTACTACATGTAGTGTATGCTGAGTCCAACACAAATAACCACAGGTATCATTTCAACTTTCCAGATCTGTTGCTAATATTTTGCTTCTTCAGTATATTAAGATATTTTAAAGAGAAATGGTAAAATGTTTTAACAGAATTCAGAATCCAAACATTATTTTGAATGTCCATTTATAAGTAGAAGTTATCTTGATCTTCTAAGATAATGGCCATATCAAAATTCATTAAAATATTACAATGTACTTGTAGAGATAGTTATTTAAGATGAAATAGTTACACAAAAAGTATTAATTAAATAATGCAGTCACATTTTATGGAATCACAAAAGAAACCTGTAATACCTAATTTTCTGCCAAAAGCGATATGACAATTCTGATAATGGTCACATTAAAAGAAACATCTGTCATCAATTTTAATGTATAATTATATAAAAGTGTAAATAAAAGCAGGTAACATTTAAAAATTATTAGTATTAGAAAAAAGTAACTTATGTTTGAAATTCTTCATATCACATTTATCTTACCAGTAATTAGCATATTCTCCCACTATCATTGCTGGAGTTTCTGTTAATAGTTTTGTGATTCCAATGGCACAAATCTTTCGCTCCAAAGAACCAGAGACTTTCTGTACCTCAGGAATAACGACCCTATCCAACACCATCGCAAACATTCTAAAACAACAGATGACAATTTAGTTTAGAATGATAATTAATTATTCTAATTATTTTTTTTTTAAATGTGTACGTACTTGGGTTGAAACTCGTCGACCATGCTTATGAACGTACTTGGACCATATTTATAAATAAAGAAAAAGAAAAACACCAGAAGACCTAAAAAAAAAATTAAAATTCTATCATAAAGAAAAAATTAAAACTAAAATTACATTAAAAACCTAGAATTTTCTGATATTAATTCATATTATTCATAATAATGAATCTCAACAATCTTGAAATTGATTTCACTACAGTTAAATTCCTTTATTTCTAATGTTAATAAATTACAAATTTTCTTAAACTAATGCTTTAATTTTAAATTTTAAGGTGAAAGAGACAGAAAAGTTTAGAACAGATTTTAATACAATTCCAGTTTCATTGTTTGGTTTATTTGTCTTTAAACTAACAAATACACAGAACTATAATTTATAACAGAACTATGAATTATATAATAAAAGTTTCATTGATTAATTTGAATTTAGAATCTGAACTAAAATTTGGTATAATAATTATACATTTTTATAAATTAAAAATATTTCTCAATTATGACCATAATTTCTTTTCTAGGTATGTTTTAATTAATTTCTGGTACAGAAGATACATTTGAATATAAATGTAACTGAAGTAATTATTTATGAAGTAAAAATTTATGATCAGATCAATTATTGATCTGATCATAAATTTTTAATTACAATTTCTGATTATAATAATTGAAAACCTGTTATTTTGTCTTTTTTTAAAAAATGACAAAAAAATATTCTTTGGCTTAATTCTGTAAATTTATATACTTACTTTTGATATATTTAGTAGTTTTAGAACTCTGTAACCTTTGGAACAACAGAAGAAAGATCTGTTTCAAAAATCGAGCTAACTGATCACTGTAATAAGATTAGTTTTATTACAAGAGAGATAAAAATGCTAATTTAAAAAGATAAATTTTGAAATAAAACTTACGAATTTACATGTTCTACAATACTTTGAAGAATATAAAACCCTTCATGGTCATTAGTTTTGGAAGCTATTAGTTTCTGAAATATTCCTAAAACAGCACCCTATAATAAATGTAACCTTTAACTATTTTCCCAAATAATTATTTAAAAATAGATTAACATATTTACCAGTTTATCTGTTGCAATAATCTGGTGAGCCCCTTTTTCTATGTAAGCCTGTAAAAGTCTTACTAAAGGATGAATATTTCCAGGTCTTTCCCATAGGACTGGAGCCAAAAGACATGGAAAAACTGCCATGTATGAATCGGGTACTGGACTAGCATTGAACTCCAATAACAAAGATATAATTTGAAAAACATAAGGAATAAATTCTGAAATAAAACATTTATAACAAATTACACATTAATATAGTTTTAATAAATTACTTTAATACATGATATTTTCTGCGACTAATTTGAAATAACTTATTTACATATTAAAACGATCTTTCAATGTAAAAATTAATTGAAATTAATATTGAATCTCTTCAAAAATGTAATTTTCAATTAAGTTTTATCATTAGCAACAAGTCTGACACTAGCAATACATCTTGATTAACAATAAGATCAACTAATAAAGAATGCAAAAAACAAACTTTTGATTTGGTTGATTTGATAGGATACAGTAATACAACCCATGAGCAACTGGTCCCTATTTAGGTATTAGATACATGAAATAAACCTGAAAAACTCCACGCGACCAGCCTGTTGGGAGGTGCAAATCCATAATCAAATACAGCTCATCTCACAAATCTTGGTTGGATGAAAAATGCACAGTAGTAGGGACCAATCTATTTATTTAACCTGTAATCATATACAGTTTTTTTTTTTTTTTTAATAATGTTAATTTTACATTAATTGCTGTTCATTGAATTTGACAATTCTAAAAAAAAAATCCTGAAATGTGACTTCTCCTCCGCATATGCTATTTTATTTATTTACAAAACAATATATCAAAACTTTGTGATAGCAGAAACTAATGTGAAATGAGTTCAGTTGGAAATAAATGACTGGATGGAAGTCGAGGTGTTTCTCGGAAGAATGATTTTTCAGTATTCTCATGAAATAAAGTGAATGATAGCATTTAAAAAATGTTGGAAGGTCATATCACTCCAGGCTTAGAGAAAAGTATTCATGATCTCAGGGACTTTTGCAGATGTCATTACATCATGCATAGCCAATGCCCACAATGTCATGACCACCTCTTGAGGAATCATGTGAGTCATCATAAAAAATGACATCAGAACAGAAAATCATTGCCTACACGGGTAATTGTGAAGAAAAAAAACTTATAGAAAATTGCATCCACAAAGTAGAAAATTTCCATGGTTTTCTGAAATACTGTGATAAAGCAAAAAATTTTTTTCACCATACATTATGACTAAAATGGCTTTGTTGAACTTAAAACTTCCAGACCCTGCAAACAAGTACTATGCATTGCCCAGTCAAAACATGTGAAATAACCCACTGTTCAATAATTTCATCCATTCAGCAACTGCTGTATAAAAACAAAATTTTTATTTGAACTACTCAAGAATTTAATCAGATTAGATTCTCTCATAATACTGTATCTCAGAAAAAGTAATGATATAATAGCTCAGTCAGATAGCTTTTATTGTACAATCATCTGACTGAGTTATTAGAAATTTGGTTTCTAAATTCATTAAATATTTATTTTATTGAAATTTGTTTTTGAACGTATGGCAATCACAATTACAAATGAGAAATGATTCTTAAACTTCCTATTTAATAGAATAAGTAGTTAAATGAATAATAAATTGTGAACCGAATGATTCGAATTTGAAAAAAAGTTACAATCAATATGACAATGACTAGAGTTTCAGATTAACTATTTATAAGAAAATAATATTTACCTTGGACATCTTGCTGCAAGATATCTTGAAATACAGGAAAAAGAGCATCTTCAAATGTTGTAATAGAATTACGATTGGTTCTACAGGCAATTCTGATTGATAAACTTAATGTTTCAAATAAAAAGTGATTAAAATGTGGTTTACTTGGATTCTGTAAAAATATAAAACATTATATTTAAAGTTTGGAAGTTTGGTGTATATATATATTTATACACACACCTTAATAAAAAAAAATTAAAAGTAATTCTTGATAATTAAAGTACATAAAAGAATTTACTGTAATTATCAATTTTGTAGTAAAAATTATTCTAAAGATTAACAACTTGTAAAAAATATTTTACACAAATATTTATACAAGAGATATTTATGATCACATATAACCAAGCTGAATATTAATTAAAATAATGATATATGGCTCCTTTTTATTATCCTATTGCTAAACCTTTTACAGATAATATATTTCAATCATTATTCCAAGTTGATCCCTTACATATATAAAACATTTCTAATCATCCCTGAAACTATAAGAATCATTCCTTTGAAAAACTATTTCTTATTGCCATTTTCTTTCTTTTTGACGTTTTCAGTTTGCATATTATGAACACAATTATTTATACTATAAATTATTATTAATTTGCCACATTACCTAGGCAGTATACATTAAAAAGTTTCCAAGAAAAACATTGGTTAACCATAAATTTTGTGTGACATCTTTCACAAGAATAATACCAATTTTTTTTTAACAATGAACACTCAGTATAACTGAAGCTTGGTGAAAATTTGCATTCATTTTTAATATATCTTATTTTATATTCGCAAAGCCATTTCTTTACTAAAAAGGTAAATATGTTCAACAAAATTAAAAAGTATCAGCTTCAATTGGAAGAAAATATTAATCTTTTTATACAGTATGGCAGTAAAAACCATTATAAAAAAGATAATTCTATTAATAATATTGATAAAAATTAGAGGGTAGAATCCTTGAAAAATTCTTTTTTTATATATTACTCATTTAAAAAGTAAAATTACTTCCCACAATTTAATAAAATGTTGAAATTCATAAATCTTATAAAAATTTAAATAATCACCTACTCAGAATGAAACAAAAGACTAAATAGATGTGATATAATTAGTTAAAATGTAAGATTTTTATATAAATTATGCTACAATATTAAATAAGATTTTGATTATTAAAATACTTACTTTGCTAACAAGAGTTAATTTTGTAGTCAATTTGGGTAAAAGAATAGGTAGGAAAGGAATAATTGCTTCTTGAAGTAATGAAAATGTTCGCATGATAGCTGAAACAATAATTTCATCATAAAATTCTTAAGTCAACATTAATCTAATCTAAAAAGTAATTTTAAATTTAATATAGCATTAAATAATTTTTTGACATACTATAAATATATAATTCGACTGCTAATTCCATTTATTGTATATGTGTTTACAAAAGTATGACAACATTAAATTTCTGAAGTTATAGGAGAATGAAGAATTTATCTACTCAAAATATTACTTTTTTTTCTTTTTGTTTTGAACTACTTTGATAAGGTCATTATACATATATATATTTGTAGAATGATCTGATTCTACAAAAAAATTTCTATGACTTTCCAGCATTAGCAGCAATATAGTTATGTATAACCTATTGCAGTTTATATGGTAACGTGTGCTTCAACATATGACCTGTTGCCAAAACACAGACATTTCATTGATTTTTTAAATTTTATCTCTGGTTCTTTCCACATTGAGAGCATGAAAAGGATCTTTTTCAGGTACATCTTGAGTTATGCCGAGCCCAAAATAAGGAGCAAGTAGCAAGGGATAAGGCAGACCAACTCCAGAAAGTTCCTGAAAACTTTTCAACCACCCAGATTTGATACCAGGTTCCCAAAGTAGTAGGTTAACACCTTAAAATCCTCACAATTATAAGGCCTATTTTATCAATTTAAAAACAGAGAAGATATCAAAACGTTTAGGAAACAACAAATTGTAATAATTATCATAATTTTAACTGATTACAAGTAACTGCAAAGAATTTGATAATCTGTAATATTCTCATTAACTTTTGCATACAGAATGACAAACTTCAACGTGTATCAATAATAATTCCAACTCAAAAGTAACTTCTTACGTATGTATAAAGATTCATATGAAGTTGACATTTATCCTCTTCACTAATATGTTTTCAAATGCCAATGTAACACAAGGTATGTTTGAATCATAGTGCTCCTATTGAGTTTTAAGGCTTAAAAATTAGAACTTTCCATGGAAAAAATTGGGGAAAGACCAATTTACAAAAAGTTAAAACAATCACTGAAAGGATAATGCTGAATAAAGTATTAAGTCAAAAGCAGTCTACAGTATATTTATTGGGTTGTTCGGAAAGTAATTTCGTTTTTTTTTCCGTAAAAAAAAACACAATATTTTTATAATAAATAAATATTTTATTGAATTATATATTAACCAATTTGGTCAAATACCTGTTGTCATCGTTTCTGGTAGTAGCATGCATGATTTCACATTCATAAAAGTTTTGATCGTTGCTTACAAAAAACTGACCCAAGTGATTTTTGACATTGTCATTTCAAGTAAATGTCTTACAGTTAAAAAAAATTTGTATAGACCGGAACAAGTAATAATCTGAGTGTGCTCGATCTGGCGAATATGGTTGGTGTGATAGCACGTCCCATCTAAGTTATAACAGTTTCTGACGAGTTACCAAACTTGTGTGAAATTTGACATTATCGTGGTAAAACACTACACCTGTTTTGTTGATCAATTCTGGCCGCCTTTTCTGTTTGATGATATTACTCAATTTGTTTACTCGATGGCAGTACACTTTCGAATCAATTGTTAAATTGTCTGGTAAAAGCTCCAAAAAAAAATTTCCTTAAAATCCCACCAAAGAGAGCATCTCTCTTTAAGAACATGTGGAACCCATATATCAAGCTTTGAAACAAAACCAATTTGTTTCAAGTAATCATAAACAGTTCAATTTGACAAATTTAATCTCTTAGTGATTTCACGTGTTGTTATTCAGCAGTTTGCTTCAATCAGTACCTTTATTTTGTTTTCATTGGCTTCAACTGGCCATCCAGAACATGGTGCATCTTCAATATTGAAATTGCCAGAACAAAATTTTGTAAACCACTTTTGGCACTGTTGTTCTGTCAATACATCTTCTCCGTACACGTCACACAATTTTTTTTTCTCGCTTGAACAGCATTCTTACCTTTTCGGTAATAAAAAAGCAAAATATGCCGAAAATGCTTCTTTTGATCTTCCATATTTGATGGGACACAAAAAATAAACAATTGCACAAAATCAAATAAAACTTTTTACAAATAAGCCTTAAAATGCTAGCTGTCAAAATATATAATGATAATACAGTTTAGAATGAAAATGGCGGGAAAAATACGACTAATCTGCCTAGTTGTAAAAAAAAACAGAATTACTTTCCGAACAACCCAATATTTGAGAAATATCTTCTCATTAACAAGAAAAGGAAAGATAGTTAATTTAGTATCCTCAACTTTTTTAATGTGAAAATTTCCCTTAAAAAGACTCTCTCATTAGTTACTAGAATAATAATCATGCATAGGTTGTTGCCTTTATTTTTCAATAACATGCACAGTACAATTAATAAATATGTGAAAACAATTTAAAAAAACAAAATATCCTGAGAAATGTTCACTACAATATCAAATTATAAACTATATACAGTAGAACCTCCATTATCCGGATTGTTCAAAATAAACAAAAATTTTACGAATTTGCTGATTTGCACTTGGCGAATTACGACACTCTTTATGTACGTGATGGAATGNGATATTTTAAAGAGAAATGGTAAAATGTTTTAACAGAATTCAGAATCCAAACATTATTTTGAATGTCCATTTATAAGTAGAAGTTATCTTGATCTTCTAAGATAATGGCCATATCAAAATTCATTAAAATATTACAATGTACTTGTAGAGATAGTTATTTAAGATGAAATAGTTACACAAAAAGTATTAATTAAATAATGCAGTCACATTTTATGGAATCACAAAAGAAACCTGTAATACCTAATTTTCTGCCAAAAGCGATATGACAATTCTGATAATGGTCACATTAAAAGAAACATCTGTCATCAATTTTAATGTATAATTATATAAAAGTGTAAATAAAAGCAGGTAACATTTAAAAATTATTAGTATTAGAAAAAAGTAACTTATGTTTGAAATTCTTCATATCACATTTATCTTACCAGTAATTAGCATATTCTCCCACTATCATTGCTGGAGTTTCTGTTAATAGTTTTGTGATTCCAATGGCACAAATCTTTCGCTCCAAAGAACCAGAGACTTTCTGTACCTCAGGAATAACGACCCTATCCAACACCATCGCAAACATTCTAAAACAACAGATGACAATTTAGTTTAGAATGATAATTAATTATTCTAATTATTTTTTTTTTAAATGTGTACGTACTTGGGTTGAAACTCGTCGACCATGCTTATGAACGTACTTGGACCATATTTATAAATAAAGAAAAAGAAAAACACCAGAAGACCTAAAAAAAAAATTAAAATTCTATCATAAAGAAAAAATTAAAACTAAAATTACATTAAAAACCTAGAATTTTCTGATATTAATTCATATTATTCATAATAATGAATCTCAACAATCTTGAAATTGATTTCACTACAGTTAAATTCCTTTATTTCTAATGTTAATAAATTACAAATTTTCTTAAACTAATGCTTTAATTTTAAATTTTAAGGTGAAAGAGACAGAAAAGTTTAGAACAGATTTTAATACAATTCCAGTTTCATTGTTTGGTTTATTTGTCTTTAAACTAACAAATACACAGAACTATAATTTATAACAGAACTATGAATTATATAATAAAAGTTTCATTGATTAATTTGAATTTAGAATCTGAACTAAAATTTGGTATAATAATTATACATTTTTATAAATTAAAAATATTTCTCAATTATGACCATAATTTCTTTTCTAGGTATGTTTTAATTAATTTCTGGTACAGAAGATACATTTGAATATAAATGTAACTGAAGTAATTATTTATGAAGTAAAAATTTATGATCAGATCAATTATTGATCTGATCATAAATTTTTAATTACAATTTCTGATTATAATAATTGAAAACCTGTTATTTTGTCTTTTTTTAAAAAATGACAAAAAAATATTCTTTGGCTTAATTCTGTAAATTTATATACTTACTTTTGATATATTTAGTAGTTTTAGAACTCTGTAACCTTTGGAACAACAGAAGAAAGATCTGTTTCAAAAATCGAGCTAACTGATCACTGTAATAAGATTAGTTTTATTACAAGAGAGATAAAAATGCTAATTTAAAAAGATAAATTTTGAAATAAAACTTACGAATTTACATGTTCTACAATACTTTGAAGAATATAAAACCCTTCATGGTCATTAGTTTTGGAAGCTATTAATTTCTGAAATATTCCTAAAACAGCACCCTATAATAAATGTAACCTTTAACTATTTTCCCAAATAATTATTTAAAAATAGATTAACATACTTACCAGTTTATCTGTTGCAATAATCTGGTGAGCCCCTTTTTCTATGTAAGCCTGTAAAAGTCTTACTAAAGGATGAATATTTCCAGGTCTTTCCCATAGGACTGGAGCCAAAAGACATGGAAAAACTGCCATGTATGAATCGGGTACTGGACTAGCATTGAACTCCAATAACAAAGATATAATTTGAAAAACATAAGGAATAAATTCTGAAATAAAACATTTATAACAAATTACACATTAATATAGTTTTAATAAATTACTTTAATACATGATATTTTCTGCGACTAATTTGAAATAACTTATTTACATATTAAAACGATCTTTCAATGTAAAAATTAATTGAAATTAATATTGAATCTCTTCAAAAATGTAATTTTCAATTATGTTTTATCATTAGCAACAAGTCTGACACTAGCAATACATCTTGATTAACAATAAGATCAACTAATAAAGAATGCAAAAAACAAACTTTTGATTTGGTTGATTTGATAGGATACAGTAATACAACCCATGAGCAACTGGTCCCTATTTAGGTATTAGATACATGAAATAAACCTGAAAAACTCCACGCGACCAGCCTGTTGGGAGGTGCAAATCCATAATCAAATACAGCTCATCTCACAAATCTTGGTTGGATGAAAAATGCACAGTAGTAGGGACCAATCTATTTATTTAACCTGTAATCATATACAGTTTTTTTTTTTTTTTTAATAATGTTAATTTTACATTAATTGCTGTTCATTGAATTTGACAATTCTAAAAAAAAAATCCTGAAATGTGACTTCTCCTCTGCATATGCTATTTTATTTATTTACAAAACAATATATCAAAACTTTGTGATAGCAGAAACTAATGTGAAATGAGTTCAGTTGGAAATAAATGACTGGATGGAAGTCGAGGTGTTTCTCGGAAGAATGATTTTTCAGTATTCTCATGAAATAAAGTGAATGATAGCATTTAAAATGTTGGAAGGTCATATCACTCCAGGCTTAGAGAAAAGTATTCATGGTCTCAGGGACTTTTGCAGATGTCATTACATCATGCATAGCCAATGCCCACAATGTCACGACCACCTCTTGAGGAATCATGTGAGTCATCATAAAAAATGACATCAGAACAGAAAATCATTGCCTACACGGGTAATTGTGAAGAAAAAAAACTTGTACAAAATTGCATCCACAAAGTAGAAAATTTCCAGTGGTTTTCTGAAGGCCTGTGATAAAGCAAAAAAATTTTTTCACCATACATTATTACTAAAATGGCTTTGTTGAACTTTTTAAAACTTCCAGACCCTGCAAACAAGTACTATGCATTGCCCAGTCAAAACATGTGAAATAACCCACTGTTCAATAATTTCATCCATTCAGCAACTGCTGTATAAAAACAAAATTTTTATTTGAACTACTCAAGAATTTAATCAGATTAGATTCTCTCATAATACTGTATCTCAGAAAAAGTAATGATATAATAGACACGGGTAATTGTGAAGAAAAAAAACTTATAGAAAATTGCATCCACAAAGTAGAAAATTTCCATGGTTTTCTGAAATACTGTGATAAAGCAAAAAATTTTTTTCACCATACATTATGACTAAAATGGCTTTGTTGAACTTAAAACTTCCAGACCCTGCAAACAAGTACTATGCATTGCCCAGTCAAAACATGTGAAATAACCCACTGTTCAATAATTTCATCCATTCAGCAACTGCTGTATAAAAACAAAATTTTTATTTGAACTACTCAAGAATTTAATCAGATTAGATTCTCTCATAATACTGTATCTCAGAAAAAGTAATGATATAATAGCTCAGTCAGATAGCTTTTATTGTACAATCATCTGACTGAGTTATTAGAAATTTGGTTTCTAAATTCATTAAATATTTATTTTATTGAAATTTGTTTTTGAACGTATGGCAATCACAATTACAAATGAGAAATGATTCTTAAACTTCCTATTTAATAGAATAAGTAGTTAAATGAATAATAAATTGTGAACCGAATGATTCGAATTTGAAAAAAAGTTACAATCAATATGACAATGACTAGAGTTTCAGATTAACTATTTATAAGAAAATAATATTTACCTTGGACATCTTGCTGCAAGATATCTTGAAATACAGGAAAAAGAGCATCTTCAAATGTTGTAATAGAATTACGATTGGTTCTACAGGCAATTCTGATTGATAAACTTAATGTTTCAAATAAAAAGTGATTAAAATGTGGTTTACTTGGATTCTGTAAAAATATAAAACATTATATTTAAAGTTTGGAAGTTTGGTGTATATATATATTTATACACACACCTTAATAAAAAAAAATTAAAAGTAATTCTTGATAATTAAAGTACATAAAAGAATTTACTGTAATTATCAATTTTGTAGTAAAAATTATTCTAAAGATTAACAACTTGTAAAAAATATTTTACACAAATATTTATACAAGAGATATTTATGATCACATATAACCAAGCTGAATATTAATTAAAATAATGATATATGGCTCCTTTTTATTATCCTATTGCTAAACCTTTTACAGATAATATATTTCAATCATTATTCCAAGTTGATCCCTTACATATATAAAACATTTCTAATCATCCCTGAAACTATAAGAATCATTCCTTTGAAAAACTATTTCTTATTGCCATTTTCTTTCTTTTTGACGTTTTCAGTTTGCATATTATGAACACAATTATTTATACTATAAATTATTATTAATTTGCCACATTACCTAGGCAGTATACATTAAAAAGTTTCCAAGAAAAACATTGGTTAACCATAAATTTTGTGTGACATCTTTCACAAGAATAATACCAATTTTTTTTTAACAATGAACACTCAGTATAACTGAAGCTTGGTGAAAATTTGCATTCATTTTTAATATATCTTATTTTATATTCGCAAAGCCATTTCTTTACTAAAAAGGTAAATATGTTCAACAAAATTAAAAAGTATCAGCTTCAATTGGAAGAAAATATTAATCTTTTTATACAGTATGGCAGTAAAAACCATTATAAAAAAGATAATTCTATTAATAATATTGATAAAAATTAGAGGGTAGAATCCTTGAAAAATTCTTTTTTTATATATTACTCATTTAAAAAGTAAAATTACTTCCCACAATTTAATAAAATGTTGAAATTCATAAATCTTATAAAAATTTAAATAATCACCTACTCAGAATGAAACAAAAGACTAAATAGATGTGATATAATTAGTTAAAATGTAAGATTTTTATATAAATTATGCTACAATATTAAATAAGATTTTGATTATTAAAATACTTACTTTGCTAACAAGAGTTAATTTTGTAGTCAATTTGGGTAAAAGAATAGGTAGGAAAGGAATAATTGCTTCTTGAAGTAATGAAAATGTTCGCATGATAGCTGAAACAATAATTTCATCATAAAATTCTTAAGTCAACATTAATCTAATCTAAAAAGTAATTTTAAATTTAATATAGCATTAAATAATTTTTTGACATACTATAAATATATAATTCGACTGCTAATTCCATTTATTGTATATGTGTTTACAAAAGTATGACAACATTAAATTTCTGAAGTTATAGGAGAATGAAGAATTTATCTACTCAAAATATTACTTTTTTTTCTTTTTGTTTTGAACTACTTTGATAAGGTCATTATACATATATATATTTGTAGAATGATCTGATTCTACAAAAAAATTTCTATGACTTTCCAGCATTAGCAGCAATATAGTTATGTATAACCTATTGCAGTTTATATGGTAACGTGTGCTTCAACATATGACCTGTTGCCAAAACACAGACATTTCATTGATTTTTTAAATTTTATCTCTGGTTCTTTCCACATTGAGAGCATGAAAAGGATCTTTTTCAGGTACATCTTGAGTTATGCCGAGCCCAAAATAAGGAGCAAGTAGCAAGGGATAAGGCAGACCAACTCCAGAAAGTTCCTGAAAACTTTTCAACCACCCAGATTTGATACCAGGTTCCCAAAGTAGTAGGTTAACACCTTAAAATCCTCACAATTATAAGGCCTATTTTATCAATTTAAAAACAGAGAAGATATCAAAACGTTTAGGAAACAACAAATTGTAATAATTATCATAATTTTAACTGATTACAAGTAACTGCAAAGAATTTGATAATCTGTAATATTCTCATTAACTTTTGCATACAGAATGACAAACTTCAACGTGTATCAATAATAATTCCAACTCAAAAGTAACTTCTTACGTATGTATAAAGATTCATATGAAGTTGACATTTATCCTCTTCACTAATATGTTTTCAAATGCCAATGTAACACAAGGTATGTTTGAATCATAGTGCTCCTATTGAGTTTTAAGGCTTAAAAATTAGAACTTTCCATGGAAAAAATTGGGGAAAGACCAATTTACAAAAAGTTAAAACAATCACTGAAAGGATAATGCTGAATAAAGTATTAAGTCAAAAGCAGTCTACAGTATATTTATTGGGTTGTTCGGAAAGTAATTTCGTTTTTTTTTCCGTAAAAAAAAACACAATATTTTTATAATAAATAAATATTTTATTGAATTATATATTAACCAATTTGGTCAAATACCTGTTGTCATCGTTTCTGGTAGTAGCATGCATGATTTCACATTCATAAAAGTTTTGATCGTTGCTTACAAAAAACTGACCCAAGTGATTTTTGACATTGTCATTTCAAGTAAATGTCTTACAGTTAAAAAAA